TCATACTCAGCCACGTATGTGATGGAGAGAAAGACTGCATGGATGGATCTGATGAAGAAGGATGTCCAGGAATTTGCAAAAAAGGTTGTTTCACTTTAAACTTTATATTTAATCTTTCCGCGATGTAATGAACTTAATATTATTGAAACTGATCAGAACTTTTATTCTTTAAACCTGTACATGTGAGGTTGCAGATGCAAATGGCTTCGTCCATGATTCTCTTCTTTCTACCCCAGGTGAGTTTCAGTGTGCCCATGGGAAAATGTGCATCCCTGAGGTTCAGGTGTGTGATGGGAGGTTCCAGTGTCAGGACCATTCAGATGAAGCTGACTGCCAGAAACCAATCAAGAGCTGTGAGCATCGTTGTGCTGACGGGAAGCGCTGCATCCCAAAGAAGTTCCTGTGTGATGGAGAAAAAGACTGTGTGGATGGCTCAGATGAAGTGGGCTGCAGTAAGTACTGAGAAGCTGCAATAGCAAATGAATCTAACAAAGCAAATTTACTATAAATTTTTTTTTGATTTTTCTATCGTCTTAACTCTTGCTAATAGATTAATAGACATTACATGCTAAAGCTAACAGTTTGTTCTTTCCAGATCAGGCTGCTGCTCCATCATCAGAGTCTCCTGTCTTCACTGCATCACCTTGCATTGCTCCTTCAGTTCTCTGCCCTGGATCATCACTGTGCATCTCTCAAAATCAGCTGTGTGATGGACAAAGAGACTGCCCTGATGGTTTTGATGAAAACGGCTGTGCTGTCCAGTGTGAAAACCCAAGTAAGTGGTTAAATTACCATAAAGAAAGGTAGCATCATTCATGCAGCCACATCCAAACTTGGATGTGCACTTGCTGTTTGAAAGATTCAAAGAAAAGGTGAAGTTCTTTATTTTGAATCATGTTTGTATTTTCATCAAGCATCATAGGCGCTCTGATATCTTGTAGAAGCAGCTTACATTAAATCCTTCAAGTGTTGTCTCCAGTGTTATATAGCCACCTCTGTGCTTCTCAAACTTGCACCTTTTTGTTCCTGCACATCAGATGACTTCTTGTGCAGCAACCAGAAAAAATGTGTCCCTGGAATGCAAGTGTGCGACGGCCGAGCCCAGTGTCCCGATGGCTCTGACGAGAAGCTCTGTCAATCACCAAATCCTACTGCCACCTGTAAGATGCGGTTAATCAAAGAAAATGTGTGACTTGATCGTTTGCTTGCCCAAACAGTCTGCACTTTAACGCATAATGTTCTCTCTGTCAAGCCTCCATGAGTGGCTTCGGCACCAGACAAACTCCTCTCAGATGCCGCATTGGTTTCAAACGATGTAAAAATGGCCATGAGTGCGTTATGTACAGCCATGTGTGTGATGGGGAGAAGGATTGCAGTGATGGCTCAGATGAAGAGGGATGTGTGGCTGGTAATTTCTAAGTGTATAATTTTCATATTATTTGTATCATTTCTTGTATTCATCTGTTGAATTATTTTAAAGACTGATTGTAGTGAGCTAGTAATAGATGGAACACTATAAAGTACTTCCATGTGCCCTTTAGTTAAAGCAACTATATTAATTTATAATGCAGAAATGGTATCTTGAAGTCTACAGCACTGCTGATTCATTTCATTTAATATTTTTGTAGAGGGTGCCAGTATGGCTACTGACACAGGAACACTCGGATCAACTGTATCTCCTTCCGTCAACTTTCGCACAGAGCAGCCTTGCATCAGTCCTTCAATTCTGTGTCCAGATTCCACTTTGTGCATAGAACCAGCACAGATATGTGATGGAAAACAAGACTGCCCCGATGGCTCCGATGAGAAGTGCGTGAAGAAGTGTCCTGATGACAGAGACTTTCTCTGCAAGGACCGAAGGGGCTGTGTCTCCAAGAGTCTGGTCTGTGATGGACTCTCTCATTGTCAAGATAGATCGGATGAACTGAACTGTCCTAGTGCGGCCGCTCCTGCAGCTAAAGATGATGTGCTGCAGTGCCATAGGAACGCAAAGATGTGTAGTGATGGCACAGAGTGTGTTTTACTCAGCCACGTATGTGATGGAGAGAAAGACTGCATGGATGGATCTGATGAAGAAGGATGTCAAAATACCTGCAAAAGAGGTTTGGTTTTTTGGTTTATTTCTTTATTTTTCCAATTTAAACTTTATTTAGTTCATCTTTTAAATGTCTGAGCTTTGTTTTTTGATGATGATGATATGAGCTTAATGTTACCTTGTTTAAACCTGTACATGTGAGGTTGCAGATGCAAATGGCTTCGTCCATGATTCTCTTCTTTCTACCCCAGGTGAGTTTCAGTGTGCCCATGGGAAAATGTGCATCCCTGAGGTTCAGGTGTGTGATGGGAGGTGGCAGTGTCAGGACCATTCAGATGAAGCTGACTGCCAGAAACCAATCAAGAGCTGTGAGCATCGTTGTGCTGACGGGAAGCGCTGCATCCCAAAGAAGTTCCTGTGTGATGGAGAAAAAGACTGTGTGGATGGCTCAGATGAAGTGGGCTGCAGTAAGTACTGAGAAGCTGCACGAAGGAAACCAGAAGATTCAAATGAACCAAACCTAGTTTTTATAAGTTTCACGTTGCTGCTGCATGCTGAACCTAACACAGGTTTCTCTTTCCAGATCAGGCTGCTGCTCCATCATCAGATTCTCCTGTCTTCACTGCATCACCTTGCGTTGCTCCTTCAGTTCTCTGTCCTGGATCATCACTGTGCATCTCTCAAAATCAGCTGTGTGATGGACAAAGAGACTGCCCTGATGGATCTGATGAAAATGACTGTGCTGTCCATTGTGTAAACCCAAGTAAGTGCTTGAATGTGCCATGGAAAAAAAGGCTTAGTCTACACATTTAGCCAAGAAATAAAGACATGAGTTTTGAAAAAGTTATATTTTGATCTGTAAGGTAGATTGTTTTTTCCGTCCATAGCTGACTTTCTCTGCAAAGATCATATGGGCTGTGTCTCCAAGAGTCTGGTCTGTGATGGACGCCGTCATTGCCAGGATGGATCGGATGAACTGAACTGTCTGAGTGTGACCGCTCCTGCAGCTCAAGATGATGTGCTGCAGTGCCATAGAAATGCAAAGATGTGTAGTGATGGCACAGAGTGTGTTTTACTCAGCCACGTATGTGACGGAGAGAAAGACTGCATGGATGGATCTGATGAAGAAGGATGTCCAGGAATTTGCAAAAAAGGTTTGGGTTTTTTTCCCCCACTTTAAATGTCATTTATTTAACTGTTTATTGTTTAAACTTTTATTTTATTGCTTAAAAGAAATTGTATTTAAAGTCACATCAACACGTGTACTTTCAAGTGGAGTTGTGAGATCAGCTGATTGTCATTACTTTCTTTCTACCCCAGGTGAGTTTCAGTGTGCCCATGGGAAAATGTGCATCCCCGAGGTTCAGGTGTGTGATGGGAGGTTCCAGTGTCAGGACCATTCAGATGAAGCTGACTGCCAGAAACCAATCAAGAGCTGTGAGCATCGTTGTGCTGACGGGAAGCGCTGCATCCCAAAGAAGTTCCTGTGTGATGGAGAAAAAGACTGTGTGGATGGCTCAGATGAAGTGGGCTGCAGTAAGTACTGAAAACTAAAACTGGAATAGCAAAGCAGAGTAACTGAATGTTTCAATAAGGTTTATTTGATGTTGTCCCAGGTTACAAAATGAAACACCAGTTTAATAGTTTCCTTTCTTTCCAGACTACAACACTGCAACAACCAAGGCTCCTGCTTTTCCTTTTGCTTCACCGTGCACTCCTCCTTCAGTTCTCTGCCCTCGATCGTCACTGTGCATTGCTAAACATCAGCTGTGTGATGGACAAAGAGACTGCCCTGATGGATCTGATGAAAATGACTGTATGGTTCATTGCGAAAACTCAAGTAAGAGTAGAAGTTACTATGGAGAAAGCTACCAGAATTCCCTCTAGGGGAGTTTTTTAAAAATGAAGTGCTTGGTTGTGAGCTTTGAAATCCTAAATAACCTTTTTGTTCCTGCATATCAGATGACTTCTTGTGCAGTGACCACAAACAGTGTATCCCTGAAATGCAAGTGTGCGACGGCCAAGCCCAGTGTCCCGACGGCTCTGACGAGAAGCACTGTCAGTCACCAAATCCCACTGCCACCTGTAAGTCGAGACAGAAAGCAGACCAGCACATGCAACTGGGAAATTACAGGAATATTATATTGATCCTTCTCCCTCCACTTGTAGTTCTAGCTAAACAAAAACCCCAACTCACAGCTGATGCACTTTCTACACCCAATAGCAACCATAGTTTGAAACATCATACTAACTAAAACATACACTGCTAAACCAACAACTGAAAACAAAACTAGAAAATCTCCTAATTTGCTGTTACTTTGCTCACCTTTCAATCTAAGCTAGTTTCTTTTGATTTGTTATTTTTCTCTTTGCCAAGCCTCTGACGAGCTCAGCACCAGATCGACTCCTCTGAAGTGCCGCAATGGTTTTAAGCTGTGCGACAACGGCCTGGAGTGCGTCATGTACAGCCACTTATGTGATGGAGAAAAGGACTGCAAGGACGGGTCAGATGAAGAGGGATGTGCTATTCAGTGTAAAGCAGGTGCCTTATATATATTTTTTTTCTTTTTCCCCTTTGAGTTGGAAAAATACTGATCTAAGGTTTTAATGGCAGGAAACATGTCTGATTATCTTGAAGTAAAATGGTCTTTCTCTTTCCCAGGTGAGTTCCAGTGTTCCCATGGGAAAAAATGCCTCCCACAAGAGCGAGTGTGTGACGGGCAAAATGACTGTCTGGACCGATCTGATGAAACTGACTGCTCAGTTATGATTGAGGGCTGCCATCAGCGCTGTGATAATAATACTCGCTGCATACCAAAGAGCTTCCTGTGTGATGGAGAGAGAGATTGTGCTGATGGGTCAGATGAGGAAAACTGTGGTGGGTGCCTTTCAGAAATTTCAGAAAAGCAAAGCATGCAAACGTGAAATTACATCCACGTTTATTTTCCTCTTTCCAGGTTTGGTGTCCTGTGCGGATCATCAGTATCGATGCGTTAGCGGTCAGTGCGTGTCTGAGGCACTGAGATGTGACGGATATGCCGACTGCAGTGACGGCTCTGATGAGCTGCACTGCTCGAGGCCCCCACGCTGCCTCACACAACTCCGATGCCCACACACTCATGAGTGTTTGCAGAAAGAGTGGCTCTGCGATGGCGAGGACGACTGCCAGGATGGTTCAGACGAGAAGGTGGGGAATGAAAGTCAAGTACATCTTGATTTGTCGAGCTAAGAAGAAAGGGAATGCTTAAAAAACAGAGCAAAGCGTGTAATCATTATCATTTCTGTCCAGAACTGCAATGCTCCTCCAGCAAAGTGCTTAAAGTTCCAGTGGCAGTGTGGAGACAGCATTCAGTGCGTTCCTCTGTCATGGAGGTGTGATGGGAGGAAGGACTGTTACAATGGCATCGACGAGGAAAAATGTAAGCATGTTCACTGTTGATGTCATAGTTCATTGGACGGATTCACACACATTTGATTAGTTAGAAGGGGAACTCATCATTTTCAAAGTGACTGTAATTTGAACCCCTAATTTGTGCATTTTTATTTTTAATGAGTACGAGTATGCCTGTGGTGCTTCAAATGACCCACATTTTTGCCCATTAAAATGAGAGAATTTCTATCCTAAAAACCTCTTCTGTTTCTGGATGTTTTTAAACTAGAGGAAATCCTCGGTTTTATTCACTGTTGGGAAGCTGTGTAGTTAGAAAACAAATTACACACATTTACCATTAATTTTAATTGTATTTTTCATCTATTAATCTTCACAGGTAGCCAGAAAATATGCCCTTCTCATCTTTACCAGTGTGGCAGTGGAGAGTGTGTGGACACTAACCTGGTGTGTAATGGCGTCACTAACTGTGCTGATGGGTCAGATGAGGGTGTGAATTGTGTGCAGCACAGCTGCTCCAGTCCATCGGCTCCCTTATGCGACCACAGCTGTGTCAGCACACCGTATGGTCCGGTCAGTGCAGAACAATGTGTATTTGGTTATCTGGCAATTTCTCATAAATGGTAACTATATGTATCATCACATCTCTGCTGAACTTATCCTGGAAATGTCATCTTCCCGTATTTTTCCAGAAGTGCTACTGTGCTGCGGGTTTCAGACTGATGTCCAGAGCCACACACTGTGTGGACATCGATGAGTGTACAACAACACCTCATGCCGTATGCAACCACATTTGTCGGAACACCCGTGGATCCTACAGCTGTCATTGCCACCTTGGCTTCTACCTGGAACCTGATAACAAAAGCTGCAAGACGAAAGGTGCAGTTGGTCTGGATGCATTCTGTCTCTAAATGACTCTTTCTCCATCATTTTGTCACTATTCCCACATCAGGAACATCACTGTCACTTTTTTCCCCCCACTAAAATCAGTTGTATTTTTCATAACATAGGCTCATCTGAGCAAAAGGCACTAATAGTCAAAACCTATTGTGTCAAAACATACAAAGTCAGTCACTTCAAGTATTGTTAATACACAAAAGGAGATGTACATGATTTATTTGAAATGTGACAGTATGATTGCTCAATGTCAGAAAAGCAAAATTAAACTATTTATCAGAGAACACAGGGGGGAAAAACAGACTGAGGCCATGGAACAAACTACTGTATATTACATCAAAGTCCCACTGCACTGAGCTGCTCCTAACTTGCAAACGGCAGCAACTCTATGTATTTATGCATTGTAGACAGGATCAAGACAAGCTACGTTCAAACTGGGCATCAGATTGTGGAAGAAAAGTGATTTTAATAACCAGGCAGGCTAGTCTGTGTATTAAGAAAATGCCATGACAATATCTAGGGTATACAGAGAAGGGTCACAAAAGAGAAACTATCCAGAGACAAGCAGCTCTCTGGGTGAAAATGCCTTGTTGATGTCAGAGAACAATGGCCAGACTACTTTAAACTAATAACTCAAATAACCGCTTGGTGGAACCAAGCTATGCAGAAGAGAATCTCTGAGCACACATGTCGAACCTTGAAGCAGATGGACTACAGTAGCAGAAGACCACACTAGGTGCCACTCATGTCAGCTAAATATAGGAAACTACAATTTAAGCTACAGTTCACACAGGCTCACCAAAACTGGACAACAGAAGATTGGAAAAAAAACTGTTCACAAAAACCCTCCATGGTCACCAGATTTCAATCCTATAGAGCAGTGGTTCTCAAACTTTAGTAGTATAGGCCTATTTAACACCACATACAGTTTACACAGACAATTTTATTTCTTATATGAATGTTATTTATTGTAACTGTCATAAACAGGATGTGACATAATGATAAAAATAACACCTGTACTGCATTAAAACATTCATAGCAGGTGGGATATCCAATCTTTAAGTGATGACCTGATGAACCCTGCTCCCGGGTCCAAACTACTCTGAGTTTATTAAGGATGTTGTGTTTTTTTACATGTTTTAATGCTTTGAATCTTCTATTTAATCTGAACAAGCTCCTGAAAAAAGTCAGGGATCACTGTCGGCCTCTCTCGGTTTTTATTACCACTATTCATTTTAAAGCTCAGTTTTTAAAACCTTACGATGTAACTACAGCCCAGCCCATGCAGCAGTATGTTAATGACTAACCTTATATCTCAGTTGTTCTCCTGACTGAAATTTGGTCCGTTTAGAGCATCCTGCCATGCGATTGAATTTGTCCCTAACCACCGCGAACCCTCACGTTAACCTTTATGGAGTGGAAAACGTCAGTATTCATCCTCCAGCGTCACGGTGTTTATATTATGCTAACTATAGCTGTGTAGCTAGCCACCACACAGCACATCATTATATACCAGCTAGCCCAACTTCAGTAACCCTACAAACGCCACTGCTGTTTAGTTTTCGGTCTTCATTCAGAAGCGATAGCAGAGCTGTATGTTTTAATTTTTGCTGTGGTGGTTAAGACGCTGGATTTTTGGCTTCGTGGTTCGTGCACGTTGAAGCTCAGTTTGCTCTGCATGGCATTTCAGCCAACAACACAAAATGCCATCGTGTGGTAGCCTCACTGGATCCGCTGTCCACTTGCCATTTGATGACCCTCGTCCGGGACCTCCCCACCCACCCAAGGGAAATACACCACTCTCAAGGTGCTGCTGGTGCCACATAATAGAAGTGGATCGCATTCTCACAAGCATCAGGTGCTTCGGCATCCACGCAATAGTTCCCGACTCACCGATGGCATCTCCCGCGCCCCCACCAATTCTCCCAGGGGTCTTCAACTCATCGATGGTGGCTGGGATTGCGGCACTGCGGAAAAAGGCCTGTGTTTTTTACCATCAGAGTGACAGAGCCGTGCTGCCTTTGCAGTTTTAAGGCCCAGGGAAACAAGCCCTTCAGCGCTCTGTAGCGGCTGCGATGATAAGGAAAGGCTGCTCTTCATAGAGGACTCGCGCTCTGAGACATTTTCTGATTGACTTCGGCTCCCAGAAGAGCTTCTGGTACTCTCGTGTCGTCTTTGCATACCTCTACAATTGTATATAATTTAATCTTAAACAAAAATTGCAGATTTCCTGCGTACCACCAGAGAGAGCCCAAGTACCACTGGTGGTACACATACCACAGTTTGAGAAAGACTGCTATAGAGCACCTTTGGGATGTGGTGTAGCAGAAGGTTTGCATCATGGATGTGCAGCCAGCAAATCTGCAGTAACTACGTGATGCCAGCATCTCAACACGGACCAGGAATGTTTCAGCACCTTGTTGAGTCTATGCCATGAAGAATTGAGCTTCAAACTATAAGCTTCCATAGTTTTTAGATGAGAAAGTAATCAAGACATTAATAAAATGTATTTAGTAGTGACTTATGTTTAGAAAGTACAGACTTAGACAGTCTTTGGCCTTTAGTTTTTGTGTGCATGGTTGTATCACTTCTTCTACAGAAGACACACAAAAGTAACTTTGTCATGTTTCCTCCTAGATGAGCCCTTGCTTCTGGCATCAGTGCAGTCAGACTTGTTCCTGCTGGGAGTCCATAGTGGCACGCTGCGTCTCCTCACCTCTACCAGTCGACCCGCCTTCTCACTGGATTATCACTGGGTTCAACAAAGGATTTACTGGCTGAGTACTGACTACCAGAGCATCCGCTGGGTCGACATGAGAAACCCAGACAAAAGAGGAAACTTGGTCAAAGGTAAAATTTCGTAATCTGGGCCTGTGTGTGAATTTAAAAATTGGAAATGTAGTGAATCTACTTAATTTAGGACCTCACTGGACCTCACTTAAAAATATAGATAGATTCAGATGGTGAACCATCAGAATCTGAGATGCTGTTATTAAATCTCACAGGTGTGAAGTCTGATTTTATCGCAGTGGACTGGGTGGGTAAGAATTTATACTGGGTGGATGGCCTGGTTGGTCAAATTCTGGCAGTGAAACTCAGCAACGCCACAGTGAGGTCTCAGGACTGCACTGTGGTCCTGGGAGAAGATTTGGAGCAGCCAAGCTCCTTGGTTCTGCTGCCACATAAAGGGTGAGTTTCTCTGCTTTGTGCATTTATTTTGTAATACGAAAGCACTCCAGCTTCAACATCACAGCCATGTATTGTATAATTAATGTTCTTAGGCTGATGCTGTGGTCTGAGATCGGCAGCACGCCTCAGATTAAGCAGTCTGGGATGGATGGTTCAGAGAGGAAGGTGGTTGTGAGCCACAGTTTGAGTTGGCCAGTCAGTTTGGCCTATGACCTCCTAGATAACAGAGTGTACTGGGCAGATGAGAAACTGCGCTGCATTGGCTCAGCCTCTCTGGATGGAGGCAACATCAAGGTATTTGAATGTCAAACCGCAAAACAAGTAGAACCCAGAGACATAAGAAAGGCAAAACATATGATGTGGTGTCTGAGATGCCTTTAATAGGCCATGTTACTAATAATCTGTCTTAAAGTTTATGATTATGGATAGTATCCCAGCAGTTATGCTATATCACAACACAGTAATGGCTTTCTTTTAATAGATCATTCAGTTGGCTGAAACGCCAAACCCTTTCTCAGTGGTGGTCTTCAATGATCGTGTTTTCTGGTCTGACACAAAGAGAAGAGTCATACGCTCAGCTGACAAGAACACTGGGAAAGACCAAAAGGTTGTTCTGAAGAGACCGGGACAGCCATTTGGGCTAAAGGTGAACTCCGACAGTAAAATGAAGTCACGTTTGATCAAAGACTGTCACCGCTTATGAGTCTTAATGTTAAATCTTCTTCTCTCCCTAGCTGATGCATGCCCTTTCGCAGCCAGCTGTGCCCAGTCCTTGTGACCATCTGCGCTGCTCCCATATTTGCCTTCTGGCCCCCCCGGTGACGGGCAGATCAGCAGTATGTCGATGCCCGAAGGGTCTGCTGCTTTCCAAGGACAACATCACCTGCTCTCGGCCCAGGGATTCATCTTTCATCCTGCTCCTGTCTCAAAACACAATTTACCAGGTGACATGTTTTGTAGTGATGTTAAGGCCTTCCATCCTGCAAAACCCTTCTAGACAACACATTTAAGAAATTAGGTCTTCTGCTTTGTTCCACTTTAAATCGCACCTCCCTGCTACTGGCAGATTTACTTGCGCTCCTTGCGAAGGGATGGTATCGCCCTGAAAAAAATGCCAAACAGCAGAGTCTTGGCCCTCCCGGATATAAACGAAGCCATGGGGCTAGATATCTCCACCCAGGAGTTGTATGTGGCTTATGCGGGATCTGTGGATGTTCTGAAAATGGGAAGCTACAGGTCAAGACAAGGACTCACACCTGCTGGACAAGTCCTAAAGCTGAAGGTATGCTTAGGGCGAAAGTCTTGTATTTAATGGGAAAACGGTAGGATGTTAAACCCTGAAGATGTAACCATCTGACATTTAATTTAAAGTTAATAATCTAACTCTACATAATGGCTTTAGTTGGTGATTACATCAGCCTCAGCTCTCCAATAAGTGTCACTTTCTGGCGAAACTAAGTCTGGAAGCTATCCCTCTCTGTCTTATAAGGATGATTCGGTCACGGCTCTGGCAATTGACTGGGTGACCTCTAACCTCTACTGGAGCAGCAGCTCAAGGCCCAACATCCATGTGACATCCCGCAATGGTGGCTACACCACGTCTCTCCTGCAAGGATCACTGACGGTGAAGGCAGCACTTATCATATTTCTGCTCAGACGTGAGCGCTTACATCTGATGTTTTCATGGGTCTTTTCAGTCTGCTGTGATATTTGCCATTTGTTTTTATAAATGTTCTCGATCAAAGTTTATTTACTCGCTTTTTCTTTGGTGTAAACAGACTTCTAAATTGTTGTCAAGTTTTCACATTTGCAAGTATTGGTTCATATATAATAAAAATGTACTTTTAGCTACATCTTTATTGTATTACCAGTCCTAAAAATAATCCACATAGGAAAAGAGACTGCTAACACACACCTTGCTTTATGCTCCCTTCCTTGCCAACCCAGTGACCTTCTCATGTTAAACGTTTAATGTTTAACAATTGTCTTTTCAGCTTGCCACATCCATCGCGTTACATCCCTCCTCAGGTCGACTTTGCTACACAGCAGTGGTCATGGCAGGTGGGAAGAGCCTGACGGAGGTGGTCTGTGCCTGGATGGATGGCCGGAACAAAGCAGTGCTGTGGGGAAAGTCGAGAGTCCCCAACTCCCTGGTGTTCGTTAATAATGGGACCAGAATCTACTGGGCTGACACTGGTGAACAGTTAAACGCACAATAAAACAAAAACCTCCCACACACTCATAAAGACCAGGACAAATTTGCATTCAATTCCTCTGAGCAGTAACTCAACACAGGATCCCAATAAAGAAGTGGAAAAAACTGTATAGTAATGACATATATGAGATGAGAGTATTTTTCTTTGATAATCCTGTTTCTGTGTTTGCCTCATTTCTTTCTTCAGATGGAGTGATCAGCTCCATTGGAGTGGATGGTTTGGGATATAAACAGTTTAAGGCAGGACCTGATCTGATTATGTCCTTGACAATTACTGAGAACATCCTGTTCTGGGTCACACAGGGAAAGGGTAAGATACTTTTTGCTTTGATGTGTTTTCAAACACCTTGTTTAGTTGACATGACATCATATTCAGTGATACTAGCAAATGGCTGAAGTGCTAAGATATTTATTTGTACAAAGGCTAGTGTAGAGATTAATTTTTTATTTTATTTTTTGGAGGGGGGGGGTGTTTTTGTTTGTTTTGGGGTCTTTTTCTTATTTGAATTTGTATATTAATGTTTTGTTGAAATGTATCTTTAGTATTTTATTTCAATTTGAAATGTTAAGATATTTGCATTTATATAAAGGTTTGAAAATGTTTTGGATGTTGTTTTACTGGCAATTGATATGACAAATTTCGTTACTTTGGGATTAAGTCAATGGGGTTTTCCTACCATTTCACTCTAATCACTTCATAGCCTTCTATCACCTTTGCTTCATCTTTCTTTTTCCCATTAAGGCAACAGTTGGCATAACAAACTAATTTAAATGTGAATAGTTTGATCTTTTTCTCTGCAGTCTCCACCATTCAAACACATCAAGAAATGAGTCCCCCTCCCCCCGGAACAGATTTGCTGATTTCTGTAGTATATTTTTTTGGTTTTTTTAAATTGTACTTTTCAACTTGTGTAGATGTGACCAAGCTGTGGTTCAGTGATGGCCTCCAGCCTAAACAGTTGTGGTTTGAGACAAAGACCAGCGTGGTGGAAATCAGAGCTCACAGCAATGACACCCAGTCAGGTAGGTGGAAAAATAAGTTGACAGAAAGCAGTTGACAAAATATGGGACATGAATATTTTTACAGTTCTGTCAACAGAAATTATCCCCCAGCTGTATGATGGTATGCATGAAAGCCTAGATTAAGCTTCTGCCAAAAAAGTATCAGTATGCCCAAATAGAGGTTTAGTACATCCTTCTCTTTACAAACCATATACTATGGTGCACTGTGGGGAAAAGTGGGTAGATTGCAGAATAAGTAGGTAGAACAGTTAGGACTACTGAGCGGACGCTATGTAATGCCACTATGAGAGAAGGTGAGGTATGACGGGCATGAGAAGAATCTGAATAAAACACTGTTACAGGAAACCGAGAAGAGATGTTACAATAGCTGACGCCATTTCCAAAGTCAAAACTGGTTGCGGTATGACGCCAAAAAATTACGTTTTTGGTTTCAGTCTCATAGAAGGCGAGAGGTATTGATCGCATTATTTCAATGAAAGCAATCAATGCACATATGCAGTAGTGTGTGTAATGTGTTGAAAACTAAAGCCATGTGCATTTAGCTTCTTTATGATAAGTATTCAAATGGAACAGATTGGCAAAGAGTGCGATAGTCAGGGAGATGAAGAAAGTGGGCAGGAGTGCTCGGAGGCTAGGTGTACGGCAAAGGAAAAGGCTCATCTTCAGTTTTATTTGAGGCTCGATAATCTTGCCCGACAAACAAAGAAGTGAACTGGTACGATTTCCAAGGAGGGAGATGCACAGAGCTGTCATAACTACAGAGGGATAAAATTGAGCTTTACAATGAAGATATGGGAAAGAGTTGTTGAAGCGAAGTTAAAAAGAGATTAGACAATTGGTGAGCAACAGTGTGGCTTCATAATCTTAAAGAGCTCTATAGATGCTTTGAGACTGATGGAGAATTACAGAAGGACCTGCACACTCTTCATGGATCTAGAGAAAACACGTGATGGAGTGCTGAGGAAAAAAACTGCAGTACTGCATGAGAAAAGTGGGTCTAGCAGAAGTATAAGAGTGGTGCAGGGCATTTGAGAGAGCAGTGAGACTGAGGTGAGGTTTGTGGTGGAATGACAGATGGGTTCAAAGTGGGGGTGGGATTGCATCAGGGCTCTGAGCCTCTTCTTATTTTGAATGGCGATGGGCAGGGCAATGATGAAGAGCTCCTCCGAAGACTGAACTCCTAGAGGAGAGCAGTTTGAGAACAGGTTTGTGATACATGTTTAGCCGCATTAAATGAAGGTGGTTGTTTGGGTTAGTGCGAACAGACTGCATCTGATTTTACAGTTGTTTTTGATGTCCATCACTGGTCGCCAGATCTATCAATTTCCTGTTGAAGAGCCGTGAGCTTCTCTTCCAAGATCTTATCCATATTACGTTCAATGAGTACAGCCCAAGTACTCACGGCCATCCCCCATCGCTTCAGTCATAGCAGCTAGCCTTGTGGGGTTTTGAACAGCTGCAACTGCTTTCTTTAATCTTCGATAAGCCAGGGTCAAACCAGCTCTGATCAGCAAGAAGCTTGTTATCATGGTTCAGAATAGGTAGATGTCTTCAATCGATAGTCCTGCCAGGCATGCAATGCGCCAATTCCACCACCCATCCATCGTGTATCCGGCAGAGAATATCCCTCCAGGACAGTCGGGCTTTTCCGAACCCCGGCTTCTAATCAAGAAGAGTGTCAATTGCATTTAGGGATCAATTGATCAAATGCATAATTCTTCTTTAGGTTTTAGTGAACAGGACTGAGAGATTCTTCTGGGGGTTAGAGTTTTAAATGAGACTAGACGGAAGACATGAAGCCAAGCAAGGAAAGATAAGGGAGGGAGAAAGATGTGGCCTTCTTTGTCAAGAGCCAAGAGAGAAGAAATGAGCAAGACTACTAAGGAGGTTCACAGATGTAGTGAAGAACGACATGTAGATGGTTTATATGTCGTACTTCACTTCACCTATACAAATTAGTATTACCAGAGACTTGTTTTTTGTTTTGTTTTTAAAGAGATTATTTTTGTCTCGTGTGCTCCCAATGCCAGTCCCAAGCCTGGATAAAGAGGATGCTTGCATCAGGATTACTATTTTGGATGATTAGATAATGATATGTAATCAAAATTAATTTCAGACTAATAAACAAGCAACCAGTAGATTTGGGGTGTGTATTATCTGAAGCCTAGTTAGTGAAACAGCTTTGTGCCAAATCCAAGTAGACAAATCATAAAAACTATGTTAATCACACTACATGTTTTCAAACCATTAAATGGTAAATGACCTGTATTTATATAGCGCTTTACTAGTCCCTAAGGACCCCAAAGCGCTTTACATATCCAGTCATCCACACATTCACACTCTGGTGATGGCAAGCTACATTGTAGCCACAGCCACCCTGGGGCGCACTGACAAAGGCGAGGCTGCCGGACACTGGCGCCACCGGGCCCTCTGACCACCACCAGTAGGCAACGGGTGAAGTGTCTTGCCCAAGGACACAACGACCGAGACTGTCCAAGCCAGGGCTCGAACCGGCAACCTTCCGATTAAAAGGCGAACATTATTAAGGCATTTACTCAACTGCTGAGACGCCGCCATCAGAAAGCAGTTATATCTATTCTTTGGCAGTTAGACAATTCATTTTTCACAATTCTAACTCACTGTTGCCTTTTTTTTTTTTTTAAAGAACAAGGCAAAACCAGCTACTTGCAAAACAGGAATTCTAATAACTGCAAACCTTTTTTTTTTCTTTTTTTTTTTTTTGCCTTCATTATTTTTCTTGTTCCTCTCCATTTCAAAATGGAGGAATCTGGCAAAGTGTGTCACAGTACAGTGTAGGCAGAATGAATAGTCTCACTTAGGCAGAGTTGGAGCCGAATTGATGGCAGGGTGATGTGATACCTGCGGGGAGTGGGGGGGGGTTTGTCTGGCTGTGTGCTGCAGAAGAAAGGGTAATGATACTGGGGCTGTGGTATGCATTGTACACTTATTCTCTTCACCTATAACCCTTTTTCATAATATTCACATGTAATACATATATCATACATAAACTGGAGGTTTTGAGTTTTCTTTAGCACATACATACAATACTAACAGAAATAATGTACTTTATAAAAGTCTGTATAAATGGTAAATAGCACTTTTCTGTGTAGAATCCATCAATGTCAGAAACGTGGCTACAAGATGAGTAACATGTAGTGATGTCTAATGAATAACCAAGGTTATATAAAGTTATTTGTGTTGGGTACTTTACAGGATTTTTTGTATTAGGCAAATTCCCAAAAAGCCAGTAGTTCTGGAAGCTAAGGAAGATGCTATTTTATACATAAATGTGGTGTTACCATGACTCCTGAGATGTTTTTAAAGAAAAGTGCTACAGATAAATTTGAGCCTGCATGCTGTAAATACTGCTTACTTATTTCCTCCAGGAAGCAATAGCTGCTCCAAAAACAATGGAGGGTGTGTCCATCTGTGCCTGGCCTATCCCGGAGGTAGGATCTGTAAATGTGGGCGTGGCTTTTACACCTTAAATGTCACTTCTTGTGCCCCAATTACCTCCTGTGCCCCTGGAGAAGAATCCTGCTTTGACCGCAGCCAGTGTATCAGCAGGAGCAAGTTCTGTGATGGACAGGTTGACTGCCTGGACCAGTCGGACGAACAGGACTGTGAGTTTTCGACCAGAATAAAGAAGCAGTATTAAGTGAACTTAGTTTGTCATGCCCTGAATACAAATATCAATTCCACGTTAAACTGCCTTGTTTCGGAAAGTAATGGGGGCTATGGTAAGATGGTATGACAGTCTTATTTGAATTAACCGGAGTAAAAAGTGTAACACTATCCTCCAGATATTTAACAGAACTCCAGAATAAATTAGGTCTACACAATTTGCCAAGTTACCTTTTTACAAATGGTCACATGCTTTTCTCGCGCCTGCCAATTAATTTGGTTGAGACGAGGTATTGCCTGAGTACATCTTGAAGGAGGCAACATGCATGATGAGTCAGTCGCTCAAAATGTTCCAGTCTATCTACTGTGTCCCTGCAGGAGAACATTAACAAAGGCTTTGTACTATTTAGTAGACAGCTTAAATGCTCACTAATGTCCAACCTAAGCCACATTGACACGAGTCACATTTAGCTCCAACAGGTTAAAATCAAAAGCTAATATAATGTGTCTTAAAGGATCAGCACAGCACTGGGAAACTCATCTTAAGTTTTTGAAGGAAAGAGTGAAGCCACTATCACATGTCTATAGTCAATGAGAATAAATCGCCAGCAGCCTGTTGGCTCCGGTTAGTGTAAATGTTTGAAATGAGGAAACTGCTAGTCTAGATCTGTCCAAATGCAAAAAAAACAAGGAAGCTACACATGCACCTATGTTTACCAAGCAGCTCATTTCAGTCACTGACGGTGACTTTCTCTTTAGGTCCGACTTCAAACACTGCCTCATTTGGAACTGAAGACACTGATGGCCACCCTCTGGATTCGTCATCCTCTACATCCAACACAGACAAGAACTCTGTCTCATTTCAAGACTCTGCCTCCTGTGATCTGCAACGCTGCAGTAGTCATGGGAACTGCATTGTGGAGGGTAAATTCACTCGCTGCCAGTGTCTGTCTGGTTACAAAGGAGAGTTCTGTCAAGAGGAAGAAAGGCAAAGCCATGTCGGGGTGATCCTGGGTGTCTTCTGCCTCATTGCAGTGCTGATAGTCGCCGGATTCATTTTCACTAAAAGGTACTAATTGCATTAGAGGGAGAGACCAACTACTTGCTTACCCAGATTGTCTTTGTCCTGAAAGAAACTGAACTGAAAAGTCAGCTCCTGCAGTGATTAGTGTTTGAAAAACATTTTTGGATTCGTAACTTGGTGAGTAACGTCCAGTAGAAAATTAAAATGTGGCTTCCAATTTCAACAGGAGAGGATGGGAGCTCATCAGAAGCCGATCCGCAGACAAGGAAAATCTCATGGCCAACATGGGTCTATCGAGTGATGTAGAGTCTGACTCTGAGGTAAACTGTTATTCCTGTGAGAACTGTTGCATTTGAATTAAAAGCCAAAATACATGATTAATTGTTTGTCTCCTCCTTCAGGAGGTGGACTCCCCAGCTGACGTAAACCCTCTGGCACAGCTCGATTAGACTACTCTGCACTAGCTGTTGTGCTAGCTTTATAGCAACCTGGAAATTCTCAGGCCTCATGTGTAATTTGTGAGGATGCATTTCAGTGGCTATGAAAATGCTGAAAAAAAGTGCAATTTTATAGAATGAAAGTTCTCACTATTAGCGGCTGCTCTCAAATTTATAAAAATTTTCCACGGGCTGATTTGATTGCTGGGAGTGGTTTGGTAAATTTGCTGTGTCATATAAGTGAGTCAGGAGAGACGAGCTGAGCTGAATCGATAAGAGTTGAAATACAATAATAAAAATAAAGACGTTAAATTACTTGAACCAGATTTTCTTTATTTGTAATGTGCTCAGTGTCTCGATCTCTGACATTTCTCTCTTTAACCATTTGTGTACACAGTATGTTTTACGTTTTACACTCCTGGGAGAGTTCTCACAATGGGGCGTATCTACTTAAGATTACATTCTGTTCCTGCCAACACTGAATGTCTGCCACACTTTTTTTTTTTCCTTCCCTTTCAAGGTGAGTTCTTATCCATTCATCAGTTATTCTGATACCAGTTTTAAACAAAAGCTTACTTGTTTCACTTTTGTCCCTGGTTTCCACTCTGTTTCTCCCTGGAACATTTGTTGCTGTTTGTTTTCTGTCATTCAATCTGATTAAAAGCTGTTTTATCCTGAAACTATGAGCATGCATGGTTTTTAATTTGACAGTATTGCTTGTTGCCATAATACTGTAAGTTGGGGGAAGAGAATTTTCAATAAAATATAACTTGTTGGTAATTACTATCTCAATATCCTTGGTATTGAAACATGGACACAGCTGGAAGTATGAAAAACTGAAATGTGAGAAACTGTTTAGAGGCTTTGTAATCAAATGACCTAATTCAAATGAGGTGTGGTGTTTGGCAAGTGTCATGCATTACCTTCACTCTGCCTCATACTGGGGCCTGGGAAAGCAAACAGGACAAACACGACATATCAAATGGTGTCAGTGGTTGACACTTCTTCCTTTTTTTTCTTTTTTTTATTTTTTTTTAAAATCTATTCATAAACTGCAGACATTATTTTTTTCTTTTTTTTTTTTTTAAACTTATTTTTTTTATTTAGTTTCAACATGGTTCTCTCATTACATTTGTTACACAGTGCTTTGTGACTTGTGTGTGAGAAAAGCGCTCTACAAATAAACTTTACTCACTCAAATTCCTAGTAGGGCAAGTATCTGAATTTCAACCCAATACACTCCCAGTTCTAGTAAAGAGGAAAAACTGGTTTCAAATTGCCAGGTTCAAAATGGTATGCCTTGACATTTCAGTTCCTTTTATTGCTACTACTCAAATGTTGATTTTCAGGGGGGTTAAGCTGGCAATTAATTTATGTTTAGCTTCAGACCACAGAAGTACTTGGTTATTTTTAGGAAATGGTGATGGCTTGGGTTCAAATACGCCAGAACATTCCTTAAAAATGTGTCAGTTCAGGGATTAGTTTAGGTCCTTGCACTTCATTGGGTTTAGGTTATGGAGGTGTGTCACTTTGGGTGTGTCTCCAGGGTTAAAGGTAGACGCATTAATCTGTTTACCTCACCTGGTTTTGACGAGCAATAAAGGTAGGGTGAGCATGGGTGGTGGGTGCCAAAAAAGGGATTAAACATGTTTTGGTTTTTGTAAGTAATCTCTTTGCTTAACTTGGTAGATGGCCTGCTACATGATTTATGAATCTACTAATATATCAATTTAGAAACTGGCTATTTTGAAAGTATCTTTATGACTCTGCAATTTTATGCCTACTCTGTGTTCTACTCTTCAATTCAAGTAGATGTCTTAGATGTAGCGCCAACAAGTGTTTTTCACTTCCACGGTCCATGCATTTAATTGCCAATCTGCAGTGTCTGGCTACATGTTGAGCCGATCTGCCACACCTGAAAGAAATATGAATTTCCTTCGGAAATAACTTGTGTTCCTCAATAGGCTTTGCTCTAAAACCTCTAGAGGATGATACTTTTTATGTATCAAGCATTGCTTTCCAGGGCTTTCCACTGTCTTGGCAGGTAAGAAGCAGTGAGTAGTCAAGATTTCAAGCTCAGGTTATCGTGAGTAAAACCAAAGCTGGGGTCGTTTGTTACTTGTCAATTACATAGATGCATACATATTCTTTGAGTCCCACTGGAATCCATTTGTCCTGCAAACTGTGAGCTTTTCCACAGTGGGCTTTCCTCTAGCTTATTCCAAATATGACAACTCTGGGAGACAGCAAGAATTGGTGGGTATCTTTCAAAGACTGTTTCCAAACTCTTAGCTTTACGGGTTTCTTTGTTGCTGAGTTTTGGGATGTTCTCCTGGAGTGGCATAACATTCTTTGACACTAGGAATGAACACATTTGCAAAATGAATTCACCCTCCATGCTCTGTGGACTCCCCTCCTAGCCATTTTATCTTCAAACCCATCTCTTCTTGAGCTGAAAGATTAAACACTTTAGTTGAATTTTGAAACGGAGCTTTCTATGACCAATAATTGTCTGGTCAGCCATCAAATTGCAGCATACCGACACTCAACATTTCCCTCCACTTGAAGTATTTTGTGATGCCTTGGATACCTTGAGGGTTGGAGGAAAGCTTTAAATAAAACTGTGGCTGCTGTACTACTGAAACACTCATTTTAGACAGGAGTAGCATCTAGCTGTTTTCTCCCTTTTTCATCCTGATGTTGAGAGATTAGCTGGTATTGTTAACCTGACAGTAGATATCCCTTGTTTGGCTTGAATTTCATTTGTTCTCAAACTTAACCTCTCACTTAACTGTTCAAAATGCTTGCAGACAGTTTGTGTGCGTGTTCTTCATTGGGTTTTAGTCGTGTAACTTTGGGTGTGTCTTTAACGATAAAGGTAGTTGCATTCACCTGTTTACCTCACTTGGTGATGACAAGCAATGAAGGTAATGTAAATATTGGGGTGACACCTTCTGTTGACTGCAGGTTGTTTGTATTAATTTACCCTGCACCGACTTATGGTTTGAAAAGTACCAGTGGTTGAACAAACAGCTTTGAAGTCCATGCCGTTTGTTTTGAGCAGTCATCTTATGAGTGTTCACATTAAAATATTCAAACTATTCAGAGTCTAACTGCAATTCATCATGTACATGATAATGAGTCAAGTTTGACAGTCTGAGAGCAGAGATGGCACAAAGCCCTTAACCTTTTTCATATCAGACGAGACAGCAAAATAGTAGTCCACTGAGGTGCTGTGCTGCAATAGTCATGAGATAATGACTGTGATTTGTGCCGACTAATTTATGTTTGTTAAGAGCCAGTTGATGAACGGTTACAATAACACGGCTCCACATGTGAACATGGAATTTAAGAGGCTTCTGCTGAAAATAACATGACGAAAAACATGTCTTGAATATAAATGAACTTTCTTAGAATATTGCAAGAAAGTTCATTTATATTCAAGTGAACCTGAAATGCCTGCAAGCAGTTTTAGTTGCGTGGCCCCCAGCCTCTCTTACACGTGTCAACAGTATTTACATAACATGTGCATGAATGTCTGCATGTTACGCAGACATGTCAGTCATGTCAGGTCTTGCTACCCGAGTCCTGTTCTTACTTGCTTTCTAATCCTTCCATCCACCCACTAGGCTAACAAGCACACCAACTGCATTTCAGTACAGAAAAGGGTGCGCAGACCTCTTGCCTGGCTTTTTCTATGTCACATAATTTTTCAGCCTTCCTGTATAATGGTTTATTGTCTGAAATGCATCACACAAATAAAAATTGGTAGTTCCCACGGATGCCAGAAAAATGAATTTTTGTGAAACGCTGTGACTCAAACTTTGAGATGTCAAGTTTCCATACAATCCCCATGAAATTTAAAGGTTCTACATCCGTGTCAGAGAGGTGTGTGTGTGTTCCTGTCTAGCTATCTTTGTGAGGTTTAGGCATTCATTTTTAATGGTTAGGGTAAGGGGCAAGGGAAACCATTATGTCAATGAAGGTCCTCACTAAAATAGCTAAACGTGTGTGTGTGTGTGTGTGTGTGTGTGTGTGTGTGTGTGTGTGTGTTGATTTTAAAGATAAGACTGAGGGAGGAGTGTGTGCATAAAAACACAAGCAGGTATTCACAGCTTTCTTCCTCTTCCCGCCTTCTCTTTCAGTGAGGGAGCGTGTAACAAAAAGGGAACTTGAAAAAAATTGACCAACGTCATCATTCAAACAGACACCTGGACAATCCTGCGACTAAAATTCCACTGGCAGCGTTTTAGGACTTCGTGGCTGACTCCTTTTTGCTTCTGTGAGTATATGGCAAGTTCATTTTCTTGTACAGTGTGTTCCTCTGTCGTGTTACTCCTGCGCCTGCCTTGGAGCTAGAGAGGAGCACAATGCTGCTGGGAAACCAGAATAACAAGATTCTTGTTTGTAAGTACAATAACGTCCACATCGGCACTTATTGATCACAAAAAAGCTGGTTTGTAGATGTTGGTCTCTTAAGCGCATTTATTGTAGCTTACTTGAGCAGTTAGGTCACCGTCCTCGGACAGCTTAGCTTAAAATGATGTGTTCAGAATCTAAAAACAGTGGAACATACTTGGAACGCATGGCTGAGAAAGAGTTACTTATTCTGTTGATTTGATGTGTAGGCTACCTGAGAAGAAATTGTATTTGCCGTAAGAATAGATGTGCAGCCTTCACAACGTTTCATGCAGTGGTACGTACTGCATGAAACGTTTTTTTCCCCCCTTTGGTCATTTGTTTGTGATTTGAAAGTAAAATATTCTGTATACAACAGGTCTTCCTTCCTACACTCTTACACACACACAGTTTGGGGGTTTTTCCCACCTGTATAAAAACAGAAAAGTATAAAAATGAATATTTGTCATTTCCGATAATACTAGTACTACTTTTTTAAATGTTGCATTTAAAAAAAACAAACAAACAAACAAAGAAAATCATCACATTTCAAGATTATTCTCCTTTTGTTTGGTCAGCAAATGTTATGGTAGCAGAGGTTAGATTAATTTTTGGGCGGGTTTCTAACCATTCATCCCATTTTCCCCATTTTCTCTCCATCTCTTATTAGTGTGCCTCCAGCTAGTCCTTCGTTTAAGATGACCACCACTTCCCTTCCTCCCGAAGGGAGAGGCATCAGCCCCAACCTGTCCGCCTGTCGAGAGTCTCAGTGTAACAACCATGGTAACTGTGTGACTCCTCCTGGTGGTGGTACAGCTCTACTATGCAACTGTGATCTGGGCTACAAGGGTGACTCCTGCGGGGAAACGGTCAATGGAGCGTTAGGTTTACCTCTGACCCTCAGCGTGTTAGCCGTCCTCATTGGCCTCGCAATCCTGGCATTCGTCCTTGCCAAGTACCAGCAGAGAAAAAGGAAGCAGCGAAGGTACTGACATATTGCACATGATTCTGTAAAAACGCATGTATCTAGAAAAGCTTATTTTCAGCATTTTCCCCCATTTATGAACATGTGTACTTGATTTCTTGCCAATCTGAAGAGTGGGGTTATAGAAGTGACCTTACATTGGGGTGTGTTAAATAGAACTATACACAACATCGTCTTATGATTACTTGCCTTGGATAGTACAAAAACTGAACTTTTCCCAAATTCATATCAAACTAACTTTTGATCATTTTAATGTATGCCTTTCTAGTACTACAGCACACAGCTATACAAATTTGTTTCCAACTGACAACTTCTCAAATTTTTATTTAACCAGGAGAGAATATAATCTGTAGATCGAAGGTGGATGTATCCAGTATGACACCAGTTGACTGGTTTGAAGCCTAAAGCTGAGCATTTTGGTCTATGCTATGCTTTAGCCTTTGCTGGAGAGTGTGGGGGGGGGATTGGACCCGAACCCGGGCCGCTATCCTCCAGCCATGCGAGACATGGTCTCCTGCTCACCCACCAAGCCAAACCGGCCCCCTCTAATAAGCACTTTCTTGATGGATTTTATATGCTCAATTACTACTTTCAGGTCATATTGGATGCAATATTTGGTCATTCTAATAGTCAAAGGGATTATGTAATGTTTGTTCAATGGCAAATGATGTAAATTCCTAGCCAATAGTCTAGTTTTAGTCATCTGGTTTCAAAACGCAAAGACGGTGACTGCAAAAAAGATCAAGACATTATAGCAGGGCTTCACTAACCAAGTGGTGAACTCATGGTGGCTAGCCCATCTTTTATACTGTTATATTATATCTGTAGGATATATCCTCTTATGTACAGTCTACATGGGATATGAGTGTGTGTGCACAGTAAAAATGGACTGTAATATTACCTCAGAGTGACTATACAACCAAGAAGGTTGTTGTTTTTAGCCATTGTTGAGTTAAATAAAAGATTAAGGTCCTCCTGCTGAAACATGAGCAGGAGGAGGAGCTAAAATAACAGAAATGAAAAGCAGTATTTTGCGTAATTTAGATTTTCAAACAATTGAAACAATTTTTTTTCATCACATTAGTGCCTTTCCATCACAGCAGAGCTGCGTATGTTTTGTTTTTTTGTTTGTGTTTTTTTTTGTTTTGTTTTTAATTTTATTTAATTTTTTACTTGGTTATGGTTATTCTCACTTTCTCCCCTAGTGTCTTTGCTAAACGAATTAAGTCACTGACTTCGTATCCATGATGAGTAAAATTCACAACAAAATGAACTTTTTTTTTTTTTTCTTTTTTCTTCAACAGGAAACTACTGGAACAAAAAGCCTAAAACAGTGCTGCTTAACGTGGATAACTGTCGAACAGAACGTTTGACCTACTTTGATGATCAAATTGTGGCTACTATAAGAATTATTCTGCAGCATCCTGGAGACTCTAGCACCAACTTCACAAACTGAGTGCCAAGGCATATGGGAGAGTCACTTCCTATATAGTATTTTTCCATTTATATAAATGTATCCATCTCCAGCTGCGTCGTATCGCAAGCCACATGCTTATTAAACTTGTGCCTCATCTCGGAAAACAACAAAACTGGATAATTCTGTTGACCTAATTTTAAACTTGGAGTGAAAATGTCTGTATTCTAATCATCAGCAGCTTCCTTGATCACATTTCTTGGATGCTAAGGCATGCTTCTGCAATTAGTTTAAACTCTGACACTTGTTAGTAAATTAATGTAAATGTTCATCCTCTGTGAGGGAGCTGCAGTTTAGTTTAAGTAAAGCAAGTGGTTGTTATTTTTCTAGTGAAGGCTTCTAACAGAGATAACACTTAAGATAACTCTAGATTGTTTAACGGGATAAGTCAGAAGCTGATTTGATGCCATACAGTTTTTATAAAAATTTTTGTAGAAAATATGCACTTTTTTTCCACTCGCGTGGGTTTATTTCATTTCATTCAGTACATACTTTTGCACCGTGTGCGGTTGCTGCCTGTATCATATTGTTCCCCTGGAATTTCTTTCTTCTAAGCGTGTGTGTGTGAGTGCGCGCCTTTTAACACTTCAGATTTTTCGGGAAGTATTTCTACCTATTTCTAAGTGCCCTGTCTTTGATGCTGTTGTAACAAAAATGCACCAGTACATCACTGGCCTGCTTTTACTCTCATATACGGCTATGCTTGTGAAAATAATGCATGTAAATCTGTGCAGACACAATCCTGCAGAGCTGTCAACAACATGCGCATATTGTACAGATGATAGGAGAGTGGTCAGAGCAGATTTCAATCTTGGCATGTTTAAAACTTGACAGTACATGTGCTTTTAAATGAGTTTGTGTGCTCTTTGAATTTCAGCCTATAAACTGATTACCACTCAGTACACTTCCGGTCCTGTAAACATGAAAACTACATAGCATCTTGGTGCTGAATAATTAGTCAAGTTCCTCAAGCTTGTAGCCAGTGTTAAGTGCCTACTGTATTAATTCTTTCACATGTTCACAGTTGTCATGTTTCACCTGGTGAATACTGATAATCACAAATGTAAACTAATCATCAACAACTCAGTAATGTTTTGCAAATGTCTGCTTCTCTGACAACAGGGTAAAACTGCAAAATGTTAATGTTACTGTAGATTTTCAGAGCTCCCATATACAACACTCAATATTGTTAAGATTATCATGTTTTTGTGTGTACATGTGTTGAATTTTTATATTAATATGACTATTGTTGATGAGCAGGGTTTCTCAATGTATGCATTCTCAAGTGTCTTCCACTAGCTTGTAAACCCTTTGAATTATATAGATAGAGAACATCTCACTCTGTGGGTTTTGTTTTGGGGGGCGGGATTAACTGGACAGTCTGCTTATATTGCAGGGCGTCACAGTGTTTTATCACTCAGGGTAGGCTGTCTTTGAGCCCCTGTTACAGTAAACCTCTTTTTCTGGCATCCAGTGACATGATAATATCAGGTTCGGTGTTTACTAAACTCAGACATGATGGCTGAGAACCTAACCAGTTTTGCCATATAATAAGATGTGTAATAACAAAAAAGTGGAAGCATCTGCCATCAGGGTATAACTAGGTCAACACTTGCTGTCCTAATAAGGCACAGACTTTGCATGCTTGTTTGCAGAAGGAGGAGCTACTTGTATCATGGCTATGCAATTAGAAGTACATCCCACAAGTATAACTACTCAAGATTACACAAATTCCTCATGAGTCGGCTTTTGGCTGTATGGTCAGCCACTGTATGCAGGAAATGAGGATATTGTTTATTAGACTCATCAGACTGATTTGAACCTAAATGCTGGGAGCAGTAACACAAGACGGTACTATTACTGTATCCATCACTGGTGGTGTTAATAAGCTGTTGTCAGGGTAGTTCAACATCTAGCTCATAGAAGAGGAGCAAGCGTAACACTTTTAAATGTTGCAAATGCAACGTTTCACCAAACATGAGCAAACACAGCCTGTTTCTGTGCAGTTTGTCACACTATGCCTGCAAGCCAAACATACAGCTGCTGTACTTCAGTGAAAGCAAGAAATGAGAGATGGCTTCACTGAGAGAGAGGATATAAGAAAGCCAGGACAAACAAGGAAGGAGTAAGGACAGTTCAGCTTATAACATCCCAATTCGTTTTAGAGTTATTTGATCAGATATTGGATCTATGAACAGGAACTTTTATTCAACTATTATTTAAAGGTTGTATAAAAATACTGGGACATTTAGTGTAGGCCACACTGAGTTTAAAGGGCTTTGGTAAAGTTTAAATCGCTATATGGGTCTAGTGCAGTGAGGTTTTCATGAGTTAATGTTAGGCTACATGAAGGGTGCTTCACATCAAATGAAATTTAAGCTGATTGATCAAATTCTACCTTTTAACCAGCTTTATACTGTCTATCTGTGGGAAATCAGGCATGTAACATGTGCTTGCATGAATTTTCCTGTTTAATTGTGGAGGGGCAAGCTCACCCATCTGTACCTGACAGAGCAATTTTTTAAAAATTTCCTTTGTTGTTCTCTGCGTGTGCTCTATATCACGGATGCTCAAGCTGTGGGAATTATTTAAAAGTAGCATTTCAGTTAGAATAAACTTCAGTCCCTCCTGTTAACGTTATTTTGTCATTATATTAATTCAAAAGGTTAAGTTAACATGGGGGGGCTCGTTTTTACTTCTGTGCTTTGAGTATATTTCAGAGACTGTGCTTTTTCAACTTTTAAGTAAAGCAGTTAAATCGCCACTTCCACTTTTGCCAGAGTACTTTTCAACACAAGTATTTCAACTCAAGTAATGTGAGTGTGTACTTTTGCCATCTCTGCTGCACTTTGAAAATTTGTCTCCAAAAGTTCTGTTTATCGGGATATAGCGTTTTGTGGGAGAAAATTTGTCTTTGAAGTTTGACTTATGATTGTTTGACTGTCACACCCGAAAATTCTGAAGTACTTTGTATTTTGTGTTGTACTGGAACCTTTGTCTAATAAAAAGACTTTTGACAGAAAGACTGTCACACCCATCTTCCAAGGGCATCTGCAAGTCCTTACTGGCCCATAGTCTCCACCCACAGATGTCTCAGGACACTTTTTACTCCAAAAAAGAATACTACACTGACCCTCTAGACTCTCTTAAAATATATATTCTTATTATAACATTAAAAAAAATAAGCCTGGTTGTCAGAATATAAGCAAAATTGGACTTTTGTCTTCCGAAAATCTATAAAGAAACATTGTGCTCTGTGTATGCTGAGATCTAAAGGTTTGAAACTGGGATTTTAAAATGTTTCAGGGGATTGAACAATAAAACAGTTTCTATACAATGGGCCAGATTTCTCTGTATTCAAAAGAGGATAAAAAAGATTTAAGTTACCACAGTGTCAGTGGATTGTTTTTTAAATGGAGAAATACAAAAGCAGCTTTCTTAGTTATTAACTAACAAGGCTTCAAACAGTAAATGTAATCTCAAATATGTCTTAATATTAATATTAAACACTTGATATTAAAAAATAAAGTGCTTGCCCACCATACTTTGGCTTGTGGCCTTCCTTTTGTTTTTTATACTGTATGTTACTGGAGCGTTCATTTCTGCAGATCTTATTCTCTTCTCTGTGCACCTTGGAAGTATAGGAACAAGTTGAAGTTTGCCTCAAACCTCTACTCTCGTTTTCAGAAAGGAACCTCATCTGGTAATGGTCAAGGAGATCAGCATCTTTAAATCTTTTTATGAAGACGGTGTGTGCGTCTTTGTCACGAAACATACTTGATGAGAATGAGAAGCCACAATAGTGCCCTCCAGGAGCCAGAGAGAGAAAGGCCATAGGAGACCCACGTCATCTGCAGCCCCCCAACCAGTAGTGAAGACCCAATGCCACACTTCTAGTGGCAACTGTGTTCCCAACCAAGCCAAAACAGGTGGTGGTGGTAGGCCCCAAATTTAGCTCTCATGGGCCACAGCCAGTGGACCAGAAGTAACAAGGTGCCTACCCTTCCAGAGGACAGCCATGCTGCCACGAGCCAATAGCAAGGCTCCAGGTGGCCAAGAACCACCCGACACCCAGCAGAGCACTGGGCCTGGGGCTTGCTGACCCTCTGAAGTGTGTGTGGATGTCTCCACAGAGTGTAGGGAATAGGGTTGTACGCGATAATAACTTTTCAGATTAAACATTATCTAACAAATCTGGAACATTTTTACTTTTGAACTCTGACCTTTGGTCCCGCTGCATGTAAAAATAATTGTTGTAACAGTCACTGCAACACAATTATCTGACAAGTCCATTAGATGCTACATTACAAAGAGGGGGTTTTCTTAGATAAAAGTCACGTGACAAAAGCAAAAGTGGAGAGGTCAAGGATGAATGGATCAAGATAAGAGGAGAGAAACTTCATTGACAATTACTGCTGTCCAGGCAGCATAACGCAAAACTGCTTTCGTGTAAAGTGGAAGGTTCCTTTATAACCCAGTGTTGGACAAATACATTGTCCAACACTGGGTTTTGTACTAACCCTGACACACAAAGCATATGTTTTTCAATTTTGGAGTGTTTATTTCAATTAAATTGGATGTTATTTATAATGCTCCAAAACACAGGAGCAGTTGTCTCAAGTTTCTTTATACTGTAAGATAAAGACTGTACAGTACTAGAAACAAGCTCACCAGATTACTTGAGTAATTTTTTTTATTATTTTTTTTAACTTTTTACTTTTACTTGAGTAATAAGTAAGAGTAATAAATGTTACTCTTACTTATTTACGATGGATACTTGACCAAACCAAACACATGATTTCCTGTGATCAAGCACTAGTTAAAAAAAAGTTAACTGAGAAAATTGCTTTTTCCCCATTTTTACCTCATTTCAAATGCTAATACAGTTGAAATTAAAGAGATAATGTTGTTGGATGATATGCAAAAACTCAACCTCTCAGACTGACCAGACTATGTCACATGATATAGCTTGTATGATAGTTAAATGTATCATATTATAATCACAACATGTGATGTGGCTTGTCTTGACCATCCACAACATTTAACCTAAAAATAATTTTTTTTTAAAATAATTAAAATGGGGAAATGATGTAAGGACAAATGTAGAAATAATAGCACTTACACCAATCTTGTTTAGTAAGGTGTTCAAGGCATTCTAATCCATAGCAGTGTGAAGAAACACAGTCCCTCCTCAAATCTGTGCTATATTTTTGCCATTTTTCAGGTGGAACTGAAGAACTGTGACATTACTGAGTTTTCATCCATGCATCCATTCATTTTCTTAACCATTTGTCCACTTCAGAGTTGCAGGAACTGTATCCCAGCTGGCAGCCATGACAGAGACACAGCCAACTATTCACATCTATAAACAATTTAGAACCATTCAATTTATTTTCTGTCTTTATTCTTCAGTTTAACCGCTGAGAGTTGATCTGTTCTTCGGGGCAGTGTCAGCACACAAAGAACTGTAATAAAAACATTCTTATTCATCATCTATGTCCGTTCCATTGTTGTAACATGCAACAGGTCCTGCAGGAAAAACCATGCCATTTTGCAAGCCTGTTTATTCACAAAGGACTTAATGGAGACTATAGAAAGACAAACGTTCATTACATTTTCACCTCGTTTCAAATGCTAAGGCATCTGAAACAAAAGAGATAATGTAGTTGGACAAGATAAACAAAGAAACCAACCTCTCAGACCGGTCAGACTGCATTGTCTGAATACTGGTGAGGTTAAGACAGCAAACAGGGTGAGAGGAAAAATATATATCATTGTGCAATGTACCACATTTTATACATTTGACTAAGTATGGCAAAGCAATGGATCACATAACGTGCCTGCTGATCAAAGAACATATTGCCAAAGTTATGACTCTTCTATAGTCCTGTTATAAATCAGCATCAATGTTCATTCTGTTATGGAGCTTTCTTTGTTGAAATTGTTGCTTTACTACTTTCGTTACATTCCATCATAATGTCAGAAAAGTTTGTAAAGAATTGACAGTCACATCTTGTTAGGAAATGGAGAGCAAATTTAATTACCAGCATATGTATCACAGATCAATGAGTACAACAGTAATCATTTCAGGGTTTAAGATGAAGGGACTGTAAAGTACATCACTATAGAGCAATTACATGAAAGAGAAAAAAGGCTGGAAGATTTAATGTAGCCACACAGCTACACAGAAAATAAAATGCCCAAGCGCCCTTCAGGATGAGGGATATTTACAGCGTAGAATCATATTTAGAATTTACACAGATTATCATCAAGAAATATAGTTTTTTCCTCCATGAATCAATTTTAATGTTATTTACTTTTCTTTTTTAATATTCTAGAGCCCTCCATTCCAGGCTGGCTCCTTCCATTTTTATATTATCCATTATACACTGGACTATATACACTGGACACCACTTGACTGTAATCTATTGCAATGATAATTTAACTACAATCAGGGGGTCTGGTCCACCCACAGTCACATTAATAAGCAGCCATGACCATGTCACACCTACATTAACCAAACTTTTATGTTCCATTTCCTTCAACTTTTAACGATGAAACACTGCAACAGAGAATCTAAAGTAGGTTATTGGATCTCTTACCACTGAAAAATTCCTTTATGGCCCTAAAATATCTCTAGGAGTGTGTTCTGACGTTCTTGTGCTATTGCAGTAATCTGCTAAAAGATTTTTCATCTTAGTCCAGTTTTCAAAGTTTTCTTTTGCTGTGTTGATGGTCAGTTGTGGAGGGTACTGTTGGCTTCTCAGAGGTCGGCATCAAAGGGTCTGCTGTTGACGGTGTTCACTGAGCGGGCAGGGGGGCTCTTGGCCCGTGGGAAGGACACATCGTCATCCATTGAGTCCCTGGAGTACGGGACGCTACTGTTGCTGGCAGCGCTCCTGGCCCGACTGAGATTCGGCACTTCAACGCGCCTGACCGGGGTCTTCGGTTCTCTGCGACGCATGACCTCTTCAACCCGGACCTCTCCTCGGTTCTTCCCTCCGCAGCAGCGGCAGATCCCGATGAACATAACGAAACCGCCCAAGACTTCAAATATCCCGCCGATGTAGCCCAGAATGATGCAGTAGCCGACTCGCGGAGTTATCGATGCTGTATTGACATTGGGCGTTGTGATGTTTGGGGGGCTGTGCGTGTACCAAGAGATCGGTATGATGGTCAAGACGCCTGAGCAAAAGATCAGCAGTCCACCCACACCGGCAACTACCCAGTTAGGCCTGTCTTTCCAACAGCGGACCCCCGGGATGGCAACAGCCAACCCGATTAGAGTCACGATGAGAGAGGCCACCATCATACCCTGTGCAGGCTGTATGATCTTGTTACTGAAGTACTGGGTGTCCGTTTGGCCGCACCGAGCACCGGAGCTTATTGTGGATGCAATACAAATATCCCAGATTCCTTGTTCAATGAAGTTATCGGAAGGAAGATTGCTAATACCGTTCAGAGTCCTCCAGTTTGGGGCCACGGTCGCGACCAAGTCCAGCACCCAGCCGCAGGGAGCCATGACCATCCCGAAGATCAGGATGCCCGGAGTGCGCAAAGAGAGCCGCATCCACTCCTGCGTTGATTCCCTCGGCATGATCGCGGTTGTTGTGGTGGTTGCTGCTGCTGCTGATGTGCCTCTTCTTACTCCTAAACACGTTGCAGTGACTAATTTCTACTGGGGCGATCAGCTTTGACGGCGTCGTCCTAAAAAACAAGTCCGACTGAAACTCAGCAGTGGGCGGGCCTTCATCTTCCCTTGCCCGTCTTGCCTGCCTCTGTCCCCAAATAGGACAGGTGTGGCGCTGTGTGCGTATGGGCGGGGTGCGCTTACATCTTCACCTGTAACTGCAAAAAGCAGAGTGCGCGAGCGGTGGGGGGCGGGGGTAGTTTCGATTAGGCTTTTTGTCGTGCCAAAGTGTGATAAGTGATAAAGGATAAGAAAGATAGAGATTTTTCTTTTCAGAGTAGCTGTTTGAAGCGTGGTGCAAACGTGTCTTCCGCTTTTAGGAGGTATTTAAAGCTTCTAATAGTGAAAGCTACCCAGACTTAAAAACTTAGGCAAGATATGATTTTTCGGATCTCCGGTTGCATTAACCTCTTAGGACCTGGCGTCGACATATGTGGACATCATATTTTGGGTTATTTAGACTATAATACTCAATTTTGCTCTACAAGGGCCTGATATCCACTTACGAGGACATTATACAGCTTCTGTTCTATCAAAATTTTAAATGAATATGTGGCTCTCATTTTTCTTAGAAACAGAAATCAGGTAAAAAAAAAAAAAAATTAAAAAAGGATCTGGTAATTCTTTGTTTTTACATTCATCGGGTCAAATATCAAAGAGAAATTAAAAATGCATGCTGTGGAAGAGTTTTAGGAGGTTAAATAACTAAAACGTTTTATTTATTTATTTTAACTCTTGTTTCATCAGAAAAAAGGGTTCTTGGGATTTTTTTTAAGTGTTCTGAATGATTAAGAAAGCGAGTAGTGTATTTAGTAGAGTTGCGTACCAGGACCCAGGGCTGGACTTGGACGAAAAATCGGTCCGGGCATTTTGAGAGGTATTATACAAAAAACCATAAAGCCTTTGAATAAAAACTAACTCTGTTGTGACAGTGATATACACTTTCTTGTTGTTATATATGTCTCAATCTAATAAACTTAAACCTACACCACCCTCCCTATTCTGGTATTCTAAACAGTGCTTAGCCAAAACCCAAAGTCGAGTTAACCTCCTGAACTATCTACAACATATGGTGGAAACCTGAAATTAAGACAGAGGAGACTAGAGGTGAGACATGATCATTACTGAATATTAAAAATAATAAATGACAGATTTAGTGATATTTTCATAAACTATTTATTTACCACATCAATAAACAGCACGGCAGGGCAAAAAAAATTTTCTAACATGGCAACCTTTAAAAAGTGAAAGGAGACAGAAAGAATAAAACTTAATTGATTTTTTGATGGTATTTTACACACAGTACTGGTACAGAATCTAGAAAATGTGGGAAAATACTGACATCATATACAGTACTTAGGTACTTCTGAAGAAATTATGATGGGACCCTGAAAAAAAATTACTATGTACAATAATGGATTTCTATACATTTTACATCAGATGAAAACGTTGGTTGTAAGATTCAGATAATTATTTGTTAAAAGTGAGACATTTTAAATGAGATTAACAAAAGAAAACATTTCTTCCTTTTCCCTGTTAATGCCCTACCTGGCAGTGGCGGTCCTAGCCTGTTTGGCGCCAACCCGTTCTCACTCCCGACACGTAAAATACTCCTCTGGCGCCCCCCACCCCACACAGACACATACATAAAACATATTAAGGATTGTACATCAACACTCCCTCAGGTTGTGTGTGAGACTTTAAATCATCAAACTGTAAAATATAAATTTTAAATTGTTATTCATCCCTTTACCCCTGGTCCTAAAGTGTATATTTATTTTCTTACTCTTCTTATATATACAGGGAGTGCAGAATTATTAGGCAAATGAGTATTTTGTCCACATCATCCTCTTCATGCATGTTGTCTTACTCCAAGCTGTATAGGCTCGAAAGCCTACTACCAATTAAGCATATTAGGTGATGTGCATCTCTGTAATGAGAAGGGGTGTGGTCTAATGACATCAACACCCTATATCAGGTGTGCATAATTATTAGGCAACGTCCTTTCCTTTGGCAAAATGGGTCAAAAGAAGGACTTGACAGGCTCAGAAAAGTCAAAAATAGTGAGATATCTTGCAGAGGGATGCAGCAGTCTCAAAATTGCAAAGCTTCTGAAGCGTGATCATCGAACAATCAAGCGTTTCATTCAAAATAGTCAACAGGGTCGCAAGAAGCGTGTGGAAAAACCAAGGCGCAAAATAACTGCCCATGAACTGAGAAAAGTCAAGCGTGCAGCTGCCAAGATGCCACTTGCCACCAGTTTGGCCATATTTCAGAGCTGCAACATCACTGGAGTGCCCAAAAGCACAAGGTGTGCAATACTCAGAGACATGGCCAAGGTAAGAAAGGCTGAAAGACGACCACCACTGAACAAGACACACAAGCTGAAACGTCAAGACTGGGCCAAGAAATATCTCAAGACTGGTTTTTCTAAGGTTTTATGGACTGATGAAATGAGAGTGAGTCTTGATGGGCCAGATGGATGGGCCCGTGGCTGGATTGGTAAAGGGCAGAGAGCTCCAGTCCGACTCAGACGCCAGCAAGGTGGAGGTGGAGTACTGGTTTGGGCTGGTATCATCAAAGATGAGCTTGTGGGGCCTTTTCGGGTTGAGGATGGAGTCAAGCTCAACTCCCAGTCCTACTGCCAGTTTCTGGAAGACACCTTCTTCAAGCAGTGGTACAGGAAGAAGTCTGCATCCTTCAAGAAAAACATGATTTTCATGCAGGACAATGCTCCATCACACGCGTCCAAGTACTCCACAGCGTGGCTGGCAAGAAAGGGTATAAAAGAAGAAAAACTAATGACATGGCCTACCTTGTTCACCTGATCTGAACCCCATTGAGAACCTGTGGTCCATCATCAAATGTGAGATTTACAAGGAGGGAAAACAGTACACCTCTCTGAACAGTGTCTGGGAGGCTGTGGTTGCTGCTGCACGCAATGTTGATGGTGAACAGATCAAAACACTGACAGAATCCATGGATGGCAGGCTTTTGAGTGTCCTTGCAAAGAAAGGTGGCTATATTGGTCGCTGATTTGTTTTTGTTTTGTTTTTGAATGTCAGAAATGTATATTTGTGAATGTGGAGATGTTATATTGGTTTCACTGGTAAAAATAAATAATTGAAATGGGTATATATTTGTTTTTTGTTAAGTTGCCTAATAATTATGCACAGTAATAGTCACCTGCACACACAGATATCCCCCTAAAATAGCTAAAACTAAAAACAAACTAAAAACTACTTCCAAAAACATTCAGCTTTGATATTAATGAGTTTTTTGGGTTCATTGAGAACATGGTTGTTGTTCAATAATAAAATTATTCCTCAAAAATACAACTTGCCTAATAATTCTGCACTCCCTGTATTGTTTGTTTACTTGCACTGCTGTAACTGGAGCCTCGTCGTCTCTCTATCTACTGTACTGTATGTAGCGAGATGACAATAAAGTTTACTTTGAACTTCAGCAGCGAGCAGGCGCACTGAGGGCTCTCGCGCTCACTTTTCGCTTATAGAATTTCAAAAAAACATCGGTGCAAATTATAAATCGTATCATAATGTCTGTGTTTTCATGTTTGTTGGTTTTTTTTAATTTTGTTTTATTTCGCGAGCTCCAGCGAGCCAGAGAATCCCCCGTCGCCCCGCCCTCTCCTCCCTGTGCCACAAGCAGCAGGCGCCCTCGCAAACGGAGGGCGCCCTTACCCCAGCAAATGGCGCGACAGAAAGCCAATCGGTGCCTATGCCATTCCCAATGTGCGCTGGCTGATGTGGGGCAGCATGAGTACGAGCAATTTATTTATTTATTTTTGCCGATGCCCGTGATGCCGCCCGGGGCAACCGCCCATGTTGCCCGCATCAAAAACCACTACTGCTACCTGGCCCCCTGGCAAAACTTTGCTAGATCCGCCCCTGCACAGTTACCAGCTGTCAGCTACTAAAAAGGATCCTGGTGTTATTTGTCTCTCAGAAACAGTTCATAACTTCCCTTCAACTCATTCATGTCACCTAAAAGGTAAACCTGTTTCTCCATCACCTGTTCAGCTCTGATGATTCAGTAAGGACATCTCCTGGTTTCATCTTCATGTTTCCCTCTCACCAGATATACAAACCGATATCATGACCAGCAGGTTTACAGCTGTGGCTCCAGCAAACATCAGCTGATACTAGAAATTAATATTAAATAAATTCTAACAACAGCTGATCAAGCTTAAACGTGCTGCTGTTGTTTAGCGCGACATCCGCTGGTTTCCTCTTTCTGGCGCAAAGTGGGCGATAAAAAACAAGAGAGAAAAGCCGATCAGCTGATCATTGATCAGTTTCATGATTGAAGTAGAAACAGGAGAGGGAGGGGGAGAGAATGAGAGAAGAAGAGGCAGCTGTGCAGCGAAAGACACAGAATAACTCCAGCTTTGTGTCTTTTTCATTGTAGCTGAAGTAGGGGACAAACTGTGTTCCTTTTCACCTCAATACGAAACACGTAATATTTTCTCTGAATACGAGACGATTCCGTTTTTACATCATAGCACCCGCCCAGCTGTATACACACTAGCTAGTATGCAGTTATTGTAACTGACTGTAAAAAGTCAGCACAATGAAAATAAACTACACCTAAACTTGGTGTATATCTGACCCAGATAGACTGCAGGGGATAACTTCTCACCTGAAGTTCAGTTCACCTAATACCGGCGGCCGCCTAGGATCTCTCCTCCTCCGGCTCACCTTTCCCTCATCCACCTGCTGGCCTCCACCACTTGCTAATGTTAATAAATCTGTGGAAGCTCCGCCATGGCCACCACCAAACAATTTAGTTCTTTTTACAGATCTGCCAGAATCTGGCCAATCCACCACCTTTCATTGTTTATAAAACATCTGCCCATAAAAACAAAAAATCACCATCGGCCCATCTGGCAAATGCCCGGTATGCCCGATGGCCAGTCCAGCTATGCCAGTACCACAAGTACACATCAGATCCATACACCAGTTAAATGATGCTATAAGAATAAAACACAGAAATAACCGAAACTGATAAACTTCTATATCAATAAAAAATAAATATATTAATAGGGCAATTATTAAAGGTAATAATATTCAGGTAAAACATTTGCAGCCTGAAGTAACTGCATCCAAGTCACTGAAAATCCCCCTGAATTCCTTAAGGTTTAAGCTGATTCTGCAGCAGATTCCAGGAGGAAGAAGTTGCTAATTTCATTGCTATTTTATCCCAATTTACTGCAAACCTTTTGGGCAGACAGAAACAAAATAAAAGGAAGAAAAAAAAGGAGTGCATTTTCAACAGTATGTTTCAGTTTTTCTGCAGGACAGAGAAATTCTGCTGTGGGATTACATTTTAAGAAATGGAAGTGCAAAACTACAGATAAAGTTCTTGTTGCCCTAACAGTCCTGTAATAATAAAACTAAGTTTTTGCTTATTTTACATTTTATTTATTTAGTATTTTTCTGTGAACTATCACAAATTATTTAAATTATTTCAATGTTTTATTTTGGTGTAGTATGAATGGCAATGTCAGGAGGAAAAACTGTAAAATTTCTGAAGAAGATTTTCAGAAATTTTCTGACTTTTGAGATTTTGGACTTTTCTACAGTGAAAAGTCCAAATAATGCTTTAGCTGCTACTGCTGGAGACTGAGCCAGTATTTTACTTCATTACAAAATTCACACTGAACTGACTGGCCAAGTTTATAGAAATATATATGTGAGACCTGGAGTCATCATGACTTTGATTTGCATGGCATGTGGGTTCTGTGTGTTGGGGAATCATAACTGGCAAGAATGTAGTTCTGCAGGAATCTATTGAGAGCAGCTTGAATACCTTTCTGCCTCACTCTCTTTGTTTTTTTCTCTCCCGTGCCTCTCTTTCAATATTCTGTCCACACATGTGTTTGTTTCTATTTTTTTATATCCTGGTTTTTCTAGCTTCTTCCCTCTTTCTGGTTGTGCTTGATGTGAGATTCTGCCAGAGCATCAAAAGAAACCCGATTATTAACGAATGCTAATAAGGTCTCTCCATAGGTAGGGGGGGATCATTCATGATTCTCAGTGCTGTAAACACCTTGTCAAAGAGCTGAGATGAGGGTGACTATCTCACAGAGCTAGCAGCTTTACTGATCTCTTTAAGGAAAGTGAATCAGTTTCTGAGAAAGTCAACAACCTATGAGAGGCAGATGTTACAGCCAGACCCTACATTGTTTAGGCCGACCCCGTTTCAGCTACGATGGTATTTGTCCATCAACATCTCCTTTGAGCGATTAACTGTGATTGCTCAAGTCACCAAAGGAAGCTCAACATTTAAGTATTTTATTTTATTTCAGTGCACTGATAAGAGCAGCTGTATTTTCCTACTGCCTTCAATAGCAGCTGTTTACCAAATTAATACAAAATGCGACATTTTTAAAGTAAGATTACTTTGCAAGAAATATCTGAAATATACACAATAAAATACAAAGTCATGTGTTCTTGAAGCCATCTGTATCTTTATTTTTCCTCAGAATTGTTTGTGTTCTTTGACACACAGAGGACAAATAAACCAGGTACGACAGGTATGTGAACAAACCAGGCAGACTTTGTGAACCAATCCTTTTGCCACATCATTTGTACACAATGCCTCTTTCCCTTATCATCATAGTATGACTCATCAACTTTATCCCTCTGTAGTTATTTCAACTTTTTCTTTCTTTCTTTCTTTCTTTCTTTCTTTCTTTCTTTCTTTCTTTCTTTCTTTCTTTCTTTCTTTCTTTCTTTCTTTCTTTCTAGGTAAGTCATAAAAAATAAATCACAATCTGAAAAAAAACCCCAACCTTTAGCTGTTTTCATTCAAAGTTTCATATATTAATGTCAGTCTTCCACCACCGGTTGTATGTAAGCTACATAACTTCACAGCATTTGTATCATGCCACACATCACAGACCTTTATAAGGTGAAACTGGAGCAAATGATTTGGATGATAGCAAGTTTTGGTTGCCAAATACATACCACTCATGCAATGTAACAGTTTGTTCATGTGAAGTAGTTTTCATTTTCCAGGTTGTGAGCCCTCAGGAACAATGATGTGTGCAAACATACGCTGAAATTTTGACGTCACATTTCTAACCTTTCTTCACTGTGCATTTTATGTTAATGACTAGCATCACAAATACAAATGGCAAAAAGCTATTTGTTGATAATCAGAGATAATTAATAATTTACACATGCATTTAATTCCAGAAAATGCAACATTTTTGGCTAAGGAGTTTTCAGCAACCCTTTATCGCTTTAACTAGAAAACAAAGGAAAAGGTTCACCAGGTACAAGTCTGATGCAAACAAGGAATGACAGGAACTCTAGAGACCTTAAAAAATAACAACTCACACAAAGTCAGACATAACCTGCACTTCCTGATCATATTGAAGAAATACTGCACATACCAATGTTATATGTGTCATAAATTTCAAACGGATACAGAGAGTGCATACGTTTTGAAAATATGCCTATTTTTTCATGAATTTAATTGCATTTACTAGATTTTTGTGAGAGAAATAGTTTTGTTTGGGTTTCTTGTTTATGCAAAAAAGTAGGTAAGTGTTTTGACTAATACTTATCAAAAAGATAACTGTGTTAGAAAATAGAATAAATTAATTTATTTGACATCAGTAAGGACAAATATTAGTCAAAATTTGTCAGAATCCTCATTCATTTAAGAAACACTAGGACCTTTATGCTTTTGAAACTTTATATTGCTAAAGTGTTTAAAACCTGAACTTGTGAGCTTGACTAAAACAAAAGAATCTTAAGTATAAACTATAGGCAACTGACAATGTGTGAGAAAATAGGTTACATATAGTACTAAATTTAGGAGCAAGATTATAAAGAACTACAGCAAAAGCTTCCAGTTTTCTCAGAGACTATCTGCCACTCTCTAGTGGCCAATTAATGAAACCACTAGAATATTCTTAAGTACACTGTTCACGTTTTATAAAACTCTGCACCCAGACTCTGCCTTTGATGTGTGGTTCACTTGCCAGTCATTTCTCACAGCATTGCTTTACAGCAAAAAGGGCCTTAGCTCAAATCTGCCAGAGTTTTCATGGTGTTAGAGGAGACTGTCATTTGGCTTGTCAAACTTCAAACACATGCAGTGAAAAAGTGAAAAAAGTAAAGAATAAAAAAATAGCTATTAACTTTCGATGATGTTCAAAGTAAGACAACCCTTTAACATCTGAATGGAAATGTGTAGATTCTTTATTGACACAAATTTTGTGGACTGATGGCTGACTTGATCTTTAGTTTGAAATAATACAATATGAGAAGCCAAATGTTCTTTTCAGCATCTCCAACTATTACCAAATGTCTCCATCAGGTGGCAGTGTTGAGCCAGAACACCTGACGTTTCTAAGCGCAAAGCAATGACTCAAAGCAGTGGACTGAGAAGACTGCATACAGAACAGTCTTGTTATTTGCAGACTATGTAGATGCACGGAGCTCCCACAGTCACTAGGGGGGCCCCACGCTGCAATCTCAGCCACAACATACAGCACCGTGCAAAAGTCTTGAGCCACCTCCGAATTCTTTATATTTTTCTTGCAAGGAGCCAGACCTTTCAGAAAGTCTTGAGTAATAGGTCTCCAGGCTTTCTGAAGGTCTTTCAAAGTTTTTCTTTGGATAATGTCTGATTTTTCACTCATTTTCAGTCCAACCAATTTACCTGACCATCAAATTGTTGTCCGTATATTCGTGGAGATCAAGATAGAGGTACAACAATAAGTGTCTGCATCATGCAAACTCTGCTTTCATCTAAAAAAACAAACAAAAACAAACCTGCATCTTCCATGTATGCGTGCACACTATTTGCTACACGTCTTTCTTTCTTACCTATCAAATTATAATGAAATTAGGGGTTAAACTTTAAAAAAAAAAGAAAACTAGTAACACCCAGGCTCATTAATATTAATTTTATTTTGCAGTCTTTTAACGACATTAAACATTTTCATGTATTCAGCTGAGAATAGTGGGAATATTAATGTGAACATGGAGGCAAAATAGAATAGAAAACATATGCCTAAATATATGTCTTTTTAAAAAGACATATAGAAAAAGGGTACGCGCATAAAAATAAATAAAGGTGGCAATTTTATCTTTTAATTTTATTTCTATTTCCACTTGAATAAAAAATATATATTTTCTCTCCAAAACAAATGCAACTTCATAAAAAAACATTTCCAGATTTTGTGTGTACTCGTGTCTTAATTTGAAATCTTACCAGTCAAGACATGCTGATATTCCTGTATTTGAATTAAAGATATTTTTGACCCTAAATCCATAAATCCACGCAAAACCGAGCGGAAGTTTGGCTTTCCTGACAGGAAGTTGTCAGCAGTGTTATTGTTGCTAGTGGGGACTGTTGTGTTGTGAAAATGGCGACATCTCGTCGCTCCTCTCAGCAGCAGCAGCCGCCAAACTCCCTCCTGTCCTCCCCGCCCCGTTGCTCCTCTCACCCTGTCACCCCGTCCAGCTCTCTGCTAGCATCCATTGATAATGCCAGCTCCCTCCCCCACGGAGCCGCGATGGAGAACACCGGTGACGGTGAGGTAACACCAGCCTCTCCCACCACAACCTCCCCTGCTTTGGCCCTCACTACCAGTAGCAGCAGCAGCACCACCACCAGCAGCAGCAGCACCACTAGCAGCAGTGCTAGCTCCCCGACCACCACCGAAGGTAGCGGCACCAGTCCCGGTTCTACGCCCGACTCGAGCAGCGGGAACCCGGGAAGCAGCGGTGCAAACGGTTCTTTCAGGGAGTTGTTTGAAGCCTGCAGAAATGGTGATGTTTCCAGGGTGAAGAAACTCGTGGATGCGGTGAATGTGAACGCCAAAGACATGGCTGGACGCAAATCGACACCCCTGCATTTTGCTGCAGGTAAAGACAACGAAAACCACTTTTTTTCCTTTTAATTGAATCAGGCTTCTTTACAGGCTGTCTAGCTGTAAGGTGCGTTTAAGGTGTGGGAGTGACCGGGAAGAAACTAATATTAAAATCCACGAGTGAGAAGCAAGCACATGCTTTAGCAGTAGATTACTCATCAAGTTTTTAAGGAGCAAAGATCTGACATACACTTCTAAAGAAGAAACAAAACACTCAGCTAATGTCCGAAACATTAAAATTAAATATCTAATATTTAATTTTTAGTCAAAACCACTTTTCAGCCTCATTAAACCATAAAACCAGCTCATGATCCATTAATTTGCTGCGCTCCTTAAATTAACGATCAATTTAGTCTGTAAAATTGGATTGCATTCCAGTATAATGTAACCGTGTTCACCATAACTTACCGCGGAGTACGTTTTGCTTAATGTAGAGCTGCCTCCGACTCCTTGTACTTTCCTACAGAGAAAACAGAGAAACATCTTCCTGTGTTACTGCGTTGTTACACTACACCCAGTCACACCCAAAATGCCATTAATAATTGATTTCCAAAGGAGAAGCAAATTTTACGTGCCAAATGTGTGGAGAGAGGACACAAATTAAATAATGAGCGCATTAAATAACATCGTGGTTGAGTAATGGTGCGGTGTGTGTGTGTGTGTGTGGCATTTGTAGATAGAGGCATATGGTAATTTGCATTTTTAATATGTTAAATGTTTGCAAGCTGGCTTAAAAAGGGCATGTGACATTTAAATGGAAAACAGAAACAAATAATTGAAGAAACTAGAGTGATTTTATATCTAAAGACTCAGAAAGGTGCATGTACATTATTTACATGTTCCAGTAAAACAGAAAATATAAGGTTTAAGTGGTTGAGCAGATGTAATATAATCCACTGGTTGTCCAGCTGTGTTGGACGTTTGAATCTTCAAACTTACCTTTTGTGCAGTACATGTGTGGAAATCATTTATATATGCATTGACATTAAAGTCTGCAGCAGGTAAACAGTCATCACTGTGACAGAACATCGACCTTAGTTTAGCTTCATTTAATGAACGCCTCTGTCACAATGGACTGTTCGTTTTTCCTTGAGGAAGAAGAGCATGAATGCTTTTTCTAAAAATGCTTTGGCAGTCCAGAAACAAAAAAGAAAAACATGCACAGCTGTTTTACATCACAAGCCTTTCTAATCCTCAGTAGCCTGAGCCAAATTAACAGATTCTCTTGAGTTACAAAGTGAGTTTGAGACAAAACTGGAATGTAAATAGAAAAAAAAAAACCATAATTAAATGACTTATTTATTGTAGATGAACATGAAAAATTTACGTGATTAAACAGTAAAACTAAGTCCAGACCTGCCAGACAAGGCTGTTGCAGTAACTTGTTTTTAGTGCTCTGGCTTCATAGTTGATCTTCTGCTTTTATTTTCAGCACTCGTCTCCCTTTCTGCCTCTCTTTTAGGTTTTGGGCGGAAAGATGTGGTGGACCATCTGCTTCAGACGGGTGCTAATGTGCATGCACGAGATGACGGAGGTCTCATCCCGCTGCACAACGCCTGCTCATTTGGTCACTCTGAGGTGAGGCTTCATACCATGTTAATGTACTCATCAGAAGACTTCTGTCATGTTTGCATTCAGGAGGGTTTACCTTGTAGTGACGTAAGTAGATGCTTCCTAGATGAGTTTTAAACACCACACTCTCTTCTTCACCTCACAAGAGAAGTGTAGAAGAGAGGACTGCCAGGGTGGAGTGGGTGGAGATGAGTGTCAGGGGTGATTTGTGACAGAACGATGGCAGCAAGAGTGAAAGGGAGGGTTTACAAGATGGTGGTGGGGGCTGCTATGATGTGTGGTTTGTAGATTGCAGCACTGAGGGAAAGACAGAAGCATTTGTTGAGGCAGAGATGAAGATGCTAAGATTTTACTGACCGAAATTGATCATACAGGATGTCAAGGCACTCTTTTGTACAACAAATTATGAAATGGATTTTAATTGAAAAATTATTGTGCAAGAAGAACATCCATCTATCTTCTTCCGCTGGAGGCTATCCCAGCTGTCTTAGGTTAAGCGACAGTGTACACCCTGGACGGGTCAGAGAGTCAAGTTCTGCTTGGTTCAGCAGTGCTCTCCCCTCGATGCTCTCCACAACCAGAAATCCACCTGGTTCTTCATCCATCTAAACTTCATAGATAGGTCAGCTGACATATAATAGGTAGGTATTGGTTAATTGGCTGAGTCACGCCCAAGTAAATACCGGACTAGATCATTACTGATGAGGAGGAGGGGGGGTGACATAACCCCCATATGTCTGAAAATAACACATGCATGAAATGCATAAGGAGGATGCTATAAATATACACACAGGTTAAAAAAAAAGGGGGGGGGGTCTTTAATGGTAAAAGCACATTTGTTAAAAGATCCTTATTTATGTCTCTAAAATGTAAAATATCTAAAATTTAGACTTAAATTGTAGACTTAAGATGAGATGTCTAAATCGTTACTTCTTCTTTGGCTAAAATAATAAGAATAATTAAATAAACATTACTCATGTGAGAGTAATTTAGCTGGTAAAAAAAGAAAAAAGGTGTAGTTCATAAAAACTCATTGATAGAAGAATCCTCATTCATACCTCTGGGGTGCAGACTCTTACAACGGAATATCCAAGATGCTTCTCTTTTTTTTCCGGATAAAATTTATATTGCCACCTCTTTTTTTCTGTTTCCTGTCTTGTATTTAAGCAATTTTTACAATGTTTTACTATGACCCTGATGAAGGCCACAAGCCGAAACGCGTTGGTCAATTATTAAAGTTGTTCATCTTCCCTCAAGTGTTGCTGGAGTTCCTGCTTTGTGAATTCTTTTATCCTCTCCATGCACCTTGGAAGCAAGTGAAGTTGTGCCAGAAAATCTTTTTTTGCTGCGATTTATCTTCATCCATCTAGCCATGCCTGACATTCATTCAAGTTTTTAATCCAACTTTAACTGGATTTATATCGAGTCACACACAAAGTTTTTTATATGTCGCCAAAGAAGAAGTTAAAATGAGCTCCTAATGAAGGTTCCAGCTATACAGATTACACTGAGCATATCTGGAAAATGACTCTCATTCCCCCTTTCTTATTCTGCTCATGAGTGAGCATGCAGATGTTTTGGATTATCTCTGACAGATGTGCTAATCCTTTTTGTCTTCCTGGCTTTTTACTACAGTAATCAATCCAGCATTCACGGTTTCAAATGTTAGAGAGCTTTTGGAGCTTTGTTGGAGAGCACAGAAAATTGGAGCAGTAATGCAAATGTATTATCACAGCAGCGGTTAACATTTTGATGACAGATACTTGGAAACTAAAATTGATCACTCACACACAGCTAAAACATTGAAAGTGGACAACTGCCTTGTTTTTGTTTTTTTTTAAATCAATTTATCTGTGTCTGGATTATGGCGGGGCGATATGGCCAAAAATATTTATCATGATATATATTTGAAAATTTGCAATAATGATATAACTGACGCGAGACAAAACTCCACAACTTTATTAGTGCAAAAAAACCAAACAAAAAACAAACCCCATCAATGTATTTTCACTTAAACAAGCAGCTGTTTTTTTTTATGTGCATTAAAGCTAATTCCCTGCTGACAGTTTAACCAAAAGGCATTTCCAGTGGAAATTGGCCGACATGTCCTCAGCATAACCATGTATAATATTCACAAAACTTAAAAAGAGGTTATACACACACAACGCGGTAATATTATGTTGAAGCACAGCACGCATCACTCCGCGAAGCTCCTGCCTACAATAGCCGTAATTCTCCGACAATCCATCAAGCGGTGCAGCTTTGTACTAAAACATTTTTTGACAGATTTTCGAGCGCCATGTACGACATAAACTCGGTTCGAGGTCAGCACAACCAGAATTGATACATAAGGCACACGGGATTATAAGGGGCACTGTCGATTGTTCAGAAAATCAAAGGAATGATTTTAAGTGCGCCGTATTTTCCGAAAAACAGTAATAACGACGGCCCGCTAGCATGCGCTACCAGAAATTGTGCTTTGTTGTGTATCTGACAGATAAAAGCCAAAACCAGTTCCACAGCACTGAAGTTGGAGCATTTTTACAAATCAATTCTGGTTCATTTGTTTCATTCAACAATCCGCTTTCGCCCTCCTCATTCTCTGTGGCCGCCATGCTTTTTCCGCCATGTGCGTATGAAAACAAAGGCACTGCGCATGCGCGTTTTGCCCATATTCTACCGGTATTACCGTGAACGGTATGATATGGCTCAGCCCTAGTCTGGATCATGATGGCAGTCCAGACTTTCCTCTCTCAGCTGGGAAAGGGAGAGAGTGGACGCTGAGGTGTTCCCAAGTTGCCTCACGGAAATTGTCTCTTCACTGTGTCCTGCTTCTGTCCTGGGATCTCCTCCCAGTTGGACATGGCCAAAACACCCCACCTAGGAGGTATCCCAGGTAGTATGCCTGAACAACCTTGACTAGTTGTTTTCAGTGTGAAAGAGTCATAGCTCCAGAATGACTAAGCTCCGACTAAGCAACTTTCTGTAAGGGAGAGCCTAGACACCCTTGGGAAGCTGATTTCAATGGCTTGTATCTGCAGTCTTATTCTTTCGGTCATATCCACTGCTTGTAACCATAGGTGAGGATAGGGACGTGAATTAACTAGTAAATCAGCAGTTCCACTTCCACGCTCACCTCTCTCATTACCACAGCTGACCGTTACAGCATCTGAATGACCTCAGAGTTCACTCTGTCAGTCTCCCACTCCCTTCTTGCTTTGCTTGCCTTTGGATTGAGTGGTGGTCAGAGGTGGAGGCCTTGGCATTCCTATCTTTTATTGTTTTTTTTTAAAGTGTAGCAAGTAGCAATTATAAAAAAAGATTGATGTAGCCTCTGTGACATCACCTACTGATTTATGAAATCTTTCGAAACGCAATTATCTGGCTGTTTAAAAATCAGAGAGAGAGGGTTAATGATAGCTGCGGCTAGATTGCAGATTAGCAACATGCAAACATGCTTACTTCTGCTAGAAAATGTGGATATGTAGAACTAGAATCTGAGAGATTACTTTAGGCCATTAGAGGAGCTGCAGTCTTGGACCATCTATTTGTCTTCATTGTTCAGCATTCTGCTTTGCGCTGCTTGTCAGCAGTGCAAAGGTAAAGTGTTCTGTGGCCATTATGCTCGTACGGCAAAAGTGTGAACACATTCTCTCAATCTCTTTCAGTCCCACCTCTCTTGACACATCACATCCACTGCTGCAAGCCGCGCTTTGGTGACGTTTCGGTCAGTCGTGCGCTCCTCGATTTTTGTAACCTTGCGTGTTTTGCTGTTGCTGCAAAAGTGCTGTACAGCCAGATTAGGTGTGGTTGTGCGATGTTGTCACCAATACAACATTAATTTTAAGAGTATGTTGTTAGATTTTCACATTTGTTTTGCAGGAAAAAAACAACTCAAACTTCAAAGCAAAGCAGTTTGTAGTTTGACTTTTTATTTTCAAACTGTTGCTCTGTCTGTGTCACACATGCAATTATTACATGTTATAAAGTAAAAAAAAAAGAAGAAAAAAGAACGATCTGAACACCCATATGCCACAACCTTTTTATCGTAGGTGGTGTCCTTGCTGCTGTGTCAGGGGGCTGACCCAAACGCTCGAGACAACTGGAACTACACTCCGCTGCACGAAGCCGCCATCAAGGGCAAGATAGACGTCTGCATAGGTGAGCACACAAAACACACATGGCAAAAATGCCAGGCCATGACCTGTACAAAGGGGTTTGCATTAATGACTCTCACTCAAAAAGTGTGCATTGCACAGCAACCATCAGTACATTCAAAAATGTGTTTAGTGGCATTTGAAGGTCTCGGTATTGCTATTTTTCTTGTGTCTGTTGGCCCAGTAAGATTGAATTAACCGGTCGTGTGAACAGAAGCAAAACAGAAAACAGTCAGTGCTCGAACTGGTTGCCATAATAGTATTCTAGTTTGCTGCATTGCTCCTTTGGGTACAGTAAAAGCCAATGTTTATTTTTTACAGTCATTTAAATATATTTTCTCATCTTCGTTGATAATGCTTTGGGAAATTTTTTTTTCTAAAAATTAAAGTTTGAATTGAAGAGGTGTGTTTGTGCAGCAACTCACAAGCTGGAGTTTGAAATGTGTAATCATTATATAGACATTATATTAGAAACTTTAACGACCCCAGCCCATGCTCTATACTGCTATGCTTTTATTTCCCAGTTAGCTTAAAGCAGCAACTAATCTGTAAACTGTGTTACTGCCTATTGTTAGTCCCCCACCCACCCCACCCCACACAGGGGACAAAAGGAGCATTGATTTTTTTTCGTCTTACTTGTGAGTTCACATTCCTGTTGAGATGGTGCAAAGCGATACTAAAGTGTTTGATCCCTTCAGTCCACAACGACCTCTGTTTGGCCGTCTCTGTCATCACGACTCGTTGTCTGCCTGTCAGCAGCAGAAAGGAAAGTACCTTTCAAGACGGTCTATACCGGGCTGACTGATAACAGCGACTTGCTGAGCAAAAATAGAGTCTGAGTAGGCTGCGCGATGGTTTTGAAGAAAACAACATTGCATTTCTTTATTGATTCATTGATTTTTAGTTCCCTGCCCTTTTGTTGTGGGTAGGCAGAGTCTTAACTATGGTGAAACTTGCAGGTTCTAGCCTCACGGGTGCTTGTAATCATTTATTATGGATGCTCTCGCAGCATATCTGCACCGGGAGATTTGTGTGATTTAACCAGCTGTGTGTAGAGATTACATGTAACCAAGTGTCACAGACAGTCTTAAACAAAAATAAAAAAGCCAACTTGTATCCTGGGGTAACGGTTGTCTCACACGCATCTCAGATGAAATTGAGTTGCAGCCATTCCATGAGACAGGTGAGCGATGGATTCCAAAAAGGCTTTCTGGGTGGATTTACAAATGAAGATTCAATTCCACAGAAAAATAGACGAGCTGTGTTACTGATCCCCGAGGAAAATCAGAGGTAAACACGATTGGCCACAAACATGAAAACAATCTGAGCTGTAATCTTTATGATGTTTGTGGAAAAGTATTGCTCAGGATGAGGACTAAGAACAAATGACTGCATGAACACTCAGTGACACCTCGCCTGGAGTGCTGAGAGCAACAAGGAGGAAAAGTTGTGCCAGTCTTTTTTCTTTTTTTCATAGTTTCTGCAGGATGCCAGGGCTCTGAGAGACTGCGTAGCAGCAATGAGCTTTGTGGTGCTGTGATGATCCCTGAGAACCAACTTCACTCTGCTCTCAGAGGTTTTATCGATTTATCAATAATTATGAATGAGACTGAAATTGAGGTAAAAAGGGTTAAATCTGCTGTTGACTTTCTCTTCACTCAGTCATGTTTAGTGTTGGTTTTCAGTCTAAGCAGTGCTTGATTTTAAAACTTTCTGAAAACTTTAGAAATGAGATGAATTCAGAAACTTCAAGCTGAATCATACCAGGAAATAAAGACTTCACATTTCCAGGTTCAGTTTGGCATCCTGCAGTCGGACTTTTAATGAATTTATGAACGACACACTTTGTGTTTTATTGTTTAATTATATTGACATGACATTTTAAGCACAGCATCAGTTGCAAGTGAAATTCTCTGTGGTAGCTCTTTATAGCAGCTGGCTTTGTTTTACAATGGCTCATTTAAGGTCTTTACAGAGCCGCACTGATGTATTGGCTAATATTTGCTATTTGTTGATGAATTGATACGTGCATTTATAACAGCCAAAAGATTCTTTGTCGATGTTGCATCTTTGTAACAGCTGGTTTAGGGTTTCTGTAACAGCCAGTTTTGAGTGTCCACAGCTGGGTGCTGGGTGTTTAGGGTTCCCCAACATCCGTTTCGCTTTAGGGTCTGTACAACAGTTTGTTTAGACTGTTTGATTTAAGGTCCTAAAACAGCTGACAGTACCAGCTGTGTGACCCTCTCTTTTTCAGTGACTGTCTTATAACCTTGACCTCCTCCCACGTTGCTTTCTAGAGATGTGTTTAAGTGCCCGTCTTTACTACACAATTTTTTGTTTGTCCCCGTACTGTACTTAATCAAATTTGACGTTGTTTACATTCGATCAAATATCGCAGTGAGAGTAGCTGTAGGGCAGGGGTCTGCAACCTTTAAGACCCAAAGAGCCATTTGGACCCGGTTTCCACGCAAAAGAAAACGCTG